AAATCTGAGTCAGTATACATTAGCACTGTCCAACAAACAGAACTTTTTGCAATTATGGAAATATCCTATAGTTGCACTGTCCCCTCATATGATTTGTGTGACTGAGAAACAGCTTTTAATCTTAAGTTTAGTCACATATATCTAGTGGCTACTGTACTGGACAGTGCAGGTCCTATACTGGACAGTGCAGGTCTATACCAGTAGTTCTCAAGAGGGGGCAATTTTGCCCCCACAGGGGACATATGCCAATGTCTGGAGTCATTTTTGATTGTCACAGTTGTGGGGGTGAGGTGCTTCTGATGTCTAACGGGCACAGGCTGGGGATGCTAAGCACCCTACCAAACACAGGACAGCCCTCACAACAATTATCTGGCCCCAAACATCAATAGTGCCACAGCTGAGAAACCCTGGTGTAAAGCATCTAGCACCAGCCCTTTGACAAGGACAGACCCTCAACTGCAGACCATGAACTGGGATTGTCCAAAGGTCCTGGGCTGCTCCCAGGAGGACAGATGGGTCTAGAAGGCCTCAGGGAAGCCCCAGCCCCTTCCCCCATCAGCCAAACAACAGGCATTAATTGAGCCAATATGTGCCGAGCCTTGTGCCAGAGATGGATCCTATGCCCATTGAGGGGCTGCCTGCCCTCCCTTCATCCAGGCTCCTTCAAGGATCCTGCCGGGGGATGGGAGGTTGGTATAGGTAGCACTAAAGGTCCTAGCAGTGATTCATAGGGCCATCAGTGTCTCTGACCCCACATGGTATCAGCTGCTTCCCTCATCTTCGTAGGCGATGGCAATCCCTCGTCTTCCACTCACAGCTTCTGTCACTGGTGTCTGACCCAGGCGGGGCTCCAGCCCCTGCCAACTCCGGGAACTAAGGAATAAGGCTGTAAAGGGAGGGGGCTCAGGCTGAGTGCGCTGAATCTGGAGAAAGAGTTCAGCTGAGGGTGGAGATGTGCCCACTTACCTGCAGGACTGCTCTCAACCAGCTCCAGCTGGGGCCGTGGGGTCAGGGCTGGGCACCCAGGATCACCTGATGACTTCCAGGCAGGTGGTGGTCGGAGATCCCCAGTAATGAGCGACACATCTGGGGTGTCCCACAGCTCTGACTCAGGCGGTGGGAGGGGCACATGGAAGGGAGAACCTGGAAAGGAGGGAGAAAGAAAATCCATACTGGCCCCCAACACCATACCCAAGTTTCCAGCTCAGGCAGTACCCCACCACTCACCAGGCAACAAGTCCGCATAATGCGTGAGGTGGGGAGCCAGGCCTGGAGGTGGCCAGGCAGGGTTGCAGGCAGCCTCCAGCTCACAGGGTGCCAATACAGGCCGGAAGAAGCTACCAGAAGGGTGGGGGGCTAGGGTGCCCAGAGGACAGGCTAACAGCACAAAAACATCCACCTCAGGAAAGTTGGCAAGCTTGGCAGGGGTGGGCCGCCCTAGGGCCAACACATAGCTACGCTTGCCAGCAGAATCAGTCAGATTCCGCAAATGTGCCAGTGCCTCACGGTGTTGGGCCACACCCAATGTGCCCGCCAGCAGCCCCACCACTCGGGCGTCTCTGGCCCTCTCTACCAGATATCGTCTTCGTGCCCTCAGCTTCTCAGCCCGGACACCCTCATCCTGAGTATGCCCCGTATCTGGGCAACAGGAGGAGAAAGGCTGCCCTGGAGCCCACCCCAAGAGCAGCCGGCTCAGGTCTGGGTCAAGGTCAGGGTCAGGGCTGGCTTCAGAGCCCCCCACATAGAAGGCACCATACTCTTCTAGACGCCTCCCTGGGGCCAGGGGGAAGCGGCGCCCAAAACGCTCCAGGGGCTTAGGCTCTGGACTGAGGGACCCCACTGGCAGAGGAAAAGCTGGGCTGGAGACTAGCAGGTCCAGGTACCGTGGGCGCAAGAGAGTGGCCAAGGCCTCTGGAAGAGAAGGAGGTGGTGTCAGGGTTGGAGCCTGGCAAAGCAAGAGCTCCCCCATCTCCAAGAGACTAAATGTGACCCAAAAGGCTGAGGCCAAAACCACATCAGGGGCTCCATGGGAGTATACTGAAGTGGGGAAATTAAGGCAGAAAGCAGTCGGCCCACCCTTCCTACATGTACAGGCATAACCTCTCACCCAAGGCGTGGGCACAGGCCGGCTCACTCAGCAAAACCACAGGTGCTTTGGGGTCGGGGTTCTGGGCCTCAAAGGCCTTAGCACAGAGCTCCAAGGACACAGGACGTTCACCAAGGACAAAGACGACTGGCAACGGGCGGGCTGGGGGACTTAAGCAGGCAGGGCCAAAATGTACAAGAGCCTGAGCTCCAGCTTGCTCAGCACCCAGCACATCCACACAGCAGCTGCAGGGAAGATACCATCAGTGAGAGGGGTTCTCAGTCACCACGGAAATGCAGTCAGTGAAGAAAATGATTTCATGAAAGGAAGACTCTGTCATCAAAGGGAACACCAGGAGGGGAGCCATCACCATCATCATCAAGAAAAAACACAGCCATTGAAGGCAGACACCATCATAGACATGGGACTCCATGAGCCCTGGGTCCCCAGGCCCAGCCCACTTAAGGGCAAGTTCACACCTGCCATAGGCTGTGTCCCCCAGAATGAACATCTTCGACCCCGTGGTCTCCTCCAGTCGTGCAGCCACGGCCCCAGCATCTCCCAGTAGCTGGTCAGGGAACTGCAAGGCCACCTTTAAGCAGAAACTATGGAGTCAGGGACAGCATCTCCCCCACTGAGGGCCTCTTCAGAGGAAACCTTCTGTGAAACCCGCTCAACCTTCAAAGTCCTTGGTCCCAAAGGGGCACTCCGTCCCACGGAGTAAGTGGAGGTATGGTCAACGCGCTGCGGATAGACCCCGATTCCCTCCTTCCCTTATCCTCATGAAATCCCCCAAGATCCCCATCCTCTGGGAGACCCATCCCCATAGAGGCGAGCCACCCCTCCCTAAACCTGCCCTCACCCGTTGACACCCCAGGTCACGGACAAATCCAACGATTCGCTCCAGCTCGTACACTCGGTCGAGGTCCGCGAGAGGAGTGGGCAGTGCCGGGACCCCCACCTCCCGCTGCAGCGCCGCCTCCGCGGGGCTGCTGAACGTAGACTCCATGAGACACCGCTTGGGTGGCGGGATGCAGCAGGGACCTCCCTGGGTCAGCTTCGGGGCCCGCGTCCTCAAGAACAGCCCTCAAAGGATCAGGGTCGCTCTGTGAATGGAGAGAAAAATCACGGTTTGGCTACAGCCGGTGGATAACCCCTCCAGCCATCCAAACTCCCATGTCTGCACCACACATGGGCCTGCCGGGAGATTACTTCCGGGTTTCAGAGGCGTGACCTACAGCAATCTTACCAATCCTAAGCCAGCTCCAGCCGCAGAGAACCAGCGACCCGTCCGAGTCCGAGTCCTGCCGGAAGTGCCTCAGAGAGCGGCGAGGAGCCTCCCGGGTGTTGTGGTTCCGCTGCGCTCCTCTTCGGGCGCGGGGAGTCTTGCGGTCCGCCCGCCGTCCGCGCTCGGGAACACCGACTCCCTAAAAATGACTACCCCAACTTGAGTAGCTCCTATCCGCCGGTCACTGTTAAGCATTTCATGTGCAATTTATCCTTTGGGAGGTAGCATCGCATAATTTTTAACTGTCAAACTGCCTGGGTTTAAACATTGCGCTTGGCTACTTGCTGCTAAGTATCTCAGGAATGTCTCTATGCCTGATTCCTTATCTGCAGAATACCTCTTAATAAGATTGTTGTGAGGGTCAGATTAGTTTATATACAAAACTTAACATAGTAATCCTTGGCATATCACATGCAGTGAAAGCATTTGCTACTTATTATCCTCACATAGTCTGTCAACCAGACAAATATTGAGCACTTACTGTTCATTGGGCACCACATTCTTAGAGTTTACAGTCTTTGGAGTAAGAATTATCCCATTTTACAGATGAGGAAACTGAGATTTGGAGAGACTAACTACTTGTGTAGTAAGATGCAGCAAGTCAGTGGCACAACCAGCATCAAGTCCAGGTCTATTGATTTTTGCAGTTGGGCCTTAGACCACTCATTCTCCTACCTTATATATGCTACATTTGCTCAGGGGGTGGGATGGGGGAAGGTGGAAGAAGACACCTGGATACCATGTAGTAGGAAACAGGACTAAAGGCATATGAAACATACCTCAGAAGTAAGAACTCAAGAGTGAGGTGAGAATGGGACTGGGGAGGGGGAGGAAAGAACAGAGTGGTTTCAGGGGACAGCAGATGGCAGAGGGGGTGCTGATGCTGCCTGGTGTGGGAAGATATTGAGGAAGAATGGAGGACACAGAACTTGTGCAAAGGTTAGGGAAAGAACGGGGAGAGTGGGATGAATGTGGGAGTAATTCCTCCATCACCTCCGAGGAGACTCAAAGCTCATGGATGAGAGTGGGGGAAGTCAGTCCTGCTCTTCAGATCTTATTGAGGAGAAGGCTGGGATACCTGAGAGGCAGCCCAGGTGAAACTATGGCTGAGGAGACAGAAAGGAAGGCAACCTGCTCAGGAAAGAAAGCAAGAGCAGGCCAGGAACTGTCCCTGGTCCTGACCATCCTGTGCTGGAGGTCCCATAAAAGCGGGGAGCTATGGGTACACAGACAACACTAGGTCCCGCCGTGCTCCTCCTCTAGGGGCTGTGATACCTTCTCTCCCCCACCCCCATCCCTCGGCCTCTTTCTATAGCTCTCCTCAACCATGTGCAAGTTTGCGGCTCTATAACCCCACACCAGAAACCCATCCTGAAGCTCAAAGCCCCACTCCACTTCTCTCCCAACTAGACACAGCCCTGCCCCACTTGCAGCCCAAGGCCCCAAGTCCTGTACCCAGGAAGCCTCCTATTCCCATCAGAAACTTCCTCCAGGCAGCCTACCCTTACCATTCTCCCAGCTTATGGTAGCTATGACTAGATCAACCTTTGTTCAGCGCAGAACAAGGCAGGGCAGAGCTAGGGGCCTAGTACTCAGAACTGTTGATAACATAAATGTATGCATGCATGCATGTTGGGACTAATTTAATGGGGATGGAGGGTTGATGACACTAATGCAGGCCCCACCCCACCACAAAGTAAATGGTAGTATTCTGAATGGCTCCAGCCTAGGTGGCTTGGCTACAGCAGTACCTCTTCTACCCTAGGAGCTAGAGGGTGTTCCCACCATTCTCTCCCAAGGCCTGGGCCCAAGCATCCTCCCATCTTTCCCCCAGGCCTCTGGACCCAGGCTTTCAGTTAGGCGGTGGTGGCAACAGAAGGGAAGCAGAGGCAGCAATGAGGGTCCAGGTTTACTCTTTGGGGACAGGGAGGGATGAGAAGGGGTAGGTGGGACGGGGGCGCCCCTCAGTAGTCGGCTGTGTAATCTGTGCCATGTAGCCCCCGGCACAGCAGTGTGAACTCCTTCACCATCTCCTTCACCCGCCTTTTGTTCACTCGCTCACTGAAGGAGAAACAGGAGAGCAGGTTAGCACCATCCACTACCAGCAACTCCTCCTCCCTGCCCAACAGGCCAACCCCAGCTCTGCTCACCGAAGGATCTGTTGGCTGAAGGTGTCCTTCTGTTCAGGGCTGAGGCGGGCAGAGGGAAAACCAGGTGGCTGCAGTGCCTCCTTGATCCACATGCTCAGGAGACTGAAGCAGTGTTTGTTCAGTGCGAACAGGATGTCAGCAAAGCAGTCCATGAGGCTGCGGGAGGCCTGGCCCCCGATGGCCTGAGGGAGAGGAGTTCTCAGCACATCAGGGTCTTGCCCCTTCTGCAGCAAGAATACCTGACCATGCCCCAGGCCCTCTGGGACACTTCCTAAGCCAAACTGCACATCACAGTGAGTGATACTTTTTGAGAGCCAGCTGATCCTCACAGCAATCCTAACAACTTTCAGCCATTTAAGAAAAATTTTATTTTATTTTTTATTTTTATTTTTTTTTTGAGACAGAGTCTCACTGTGTTGCCCGGGCTACAGTGTCGTGGCGTCATCCTAGCTCACAGCAACCTCACACTCCTGGGCTCAAGCGATCCTCCTGCCTCAGCCTCCCGAGTAGCTGGGACTATAGGCATGTGCCACCATGCCCGACTAATTTTTTCTATCTATATATTTTTAGTTGTCCAGATCATTTTTTTCTATTTTTTAGTAGAGACGGGGTCTTGCTCTTGCTCAGGCTGGTCTCGAACTCCTGACCTTGAGCGATCCACCCGCTTCGGCCTCCCAGAGAGCTAGGATTACAGGCGTGAGCCACCGCGCCCGGCCAAAAATTTTATTTTTTTTAGGGATGGAGTTCTTGCTCTGTTACCCAGGCTAGATTGCAGAGATGTGATCATAGCTCACCGGAGCCTCAAACTCATAGGCTCAAGTGATCCTCCTGCCTTAGCCTCTCGAGTAGCTGGGACTACAGGCACATGCTGCCACATCCAGTAGCCATATAATTGAGGGAGACATAGAATCTGAGAGCTTAGGGAACCACAGGCTCAAGCCTCCCAGCAAACCAACTGCCTCAGCAGTGAGGCTCCCCCACCCCCATCAAACCCCTACTTGCTCCACCTCACCTCCAGCACTGCTATGAGCAGCATACGACCATCCTCCTGGACCACCTTTCCTACAGATTCTACTTCCCCACACCGAGGCAGCAGCTCTGTCTGCAGAGGATGGAGAGGCCCATCAGCCCCAGGCTCCTTCCCCCACTTCCCTGAGGACAAGACCTGGACACCATACCCCTACCCTCTGGAGTGCCGGGCAGGGCAGGACATTGGGATGGCAGGGGTCAGAGGTCAGTGTGGGACTCACAAAGAAGCCACAGGAGGCCTTGACAGTAGGTGCCTCGGGGAACTTGAGGGCCAGCACAGCTGTGGGAGAGGCAGAGGCAGATTAGATGGGGCCTAAGGATATTGCTGGGAGCCCCAGACCCACCTGTCCACTTGGCGCCACTTACCGCACTGGAATACAGCTTTGACATCCAACCGTTCACACAGGAACAAATCTGGCTTCCGCTTCAGAGCCTGCAGGAGGTGGAGCTGGTAAGCCCAGCCCCAGCCAGCTCCAAGGACCATCCCCCCACTCACCTGCCACCCTAGCCCCCAACTTCACACATCACAGGTAGAGGCTGACAAAACCAGCCACCCAGCCATCTCTGGGGGACCCACAACACCCCGGAGTTCAATAGGTCAGGCGAGGATAGCCCAAGGGATGCTGTGTACATGTATATGTGCATGAACGCACAGGATTATGTGAGAAAGGTTGAGGGTGGGGACCATGATGTAGAAAGTTTGGGTTCCAAACACATTTCCTCCCTCCTCCATCAGGGCCAGATATCCTGCAGGCTCCAGGCAGCCAGCAGTGACTTCACTCTGATTCACAGAGGGAGTGGAGGCCCCTGGGTTTGTGAACAGGGCACCAGGAAGAAGAGACGGCAGCCAGACATATGGAGCCCTCAGCCCAACAGCCGCCTCCCATGTCCCACCTGCATTCCTCAGGCACCCTCCAGCTCCTGCTCCAGGAGAGGAAAAGTAGGGCAGGAGCCTTGGAGCCTCGGCGCCACGTTTCACTCAGGATACCCTGTGTCCAGGCCCTTCTCAGCCATACCCCCCCAGGAGCCAGTGCTGCCATAGTGGGGGAACAGATGGAGTGACGGGAGAACACGGCCCAACCCAAGTGGTACCAGGACATGACTGGCATATCCTCAGGTCACAGGAGACACTCTGCACAGCTCCAGCCATCCTCAAACACTGCTGGTCCCCAGCAATGAATGCCCCCAGCATGTACCACATAGATCCCTACCCTCCAAGCCCTCACATACCCTCTACCCATGTTTACTCATGTGCAAACACCCCCACATGCACCCTTACTTAAAAAGCCCTGCTTATACACCTCTATCACATCTTTACACACACACACTCTCCCACACCTGCAACACACCCAAACACCCCCACATCCCTGAGCCATGTCCACACACCTACACCACCAACCTACCCACAGTCTTCCTGTACACTCTCCCAACACACCCATCCACAAATACATACCCAAACGCCCTTGCCATCACAGATATGCCCTCACAGGCACTCACACACATATCCATCCGGGCCCAGAACACTCCCCCTCATTCCTCACTCCCTCCTACCCCATCAACTGGACTAAAGTTCCCGCTTTTAAAGTTCCACTAAAGTGCCTGCTTTTGGCCGGGCGCGGTGGCTCACGCCTGTAATCCCAGCACTCTGGGAGGCCGAGGCGGGCGGATTGTTTGAGCTCAGGAGTTCGAGACCAGCCTGAGCAAGAGCGAGATCCTGTCTCTACTAAAAATAGAAAGAAATTAATTGGATGACTAAAAATATATAGAAAAAATTAGCTGGGCATGGTGGCGCATGCCTGTAGTCCCAGCTACTTGGGAGGCTGAGGCAGAAGGATCGCTTGAGCCCAGGAGTCTGAGGTTGCTGTGAGCTAGGCTGATGCCACGGCACTCTAGCCCGGGCAACACAGTGAGACTCTGTCTCAAAAAAAAAAAAAGAACTGTGCCTGCTTTTGCCCACCATTACATCCTCAGCACCTAGCAAAGTACTAAATATCTGTGGAATGATTGAGCAAAGAAACACTTCATTTACCCCAACCCCCTAACACACAGAACCCCCATCACACTAACTCCACACTCCCACAGCCCAACATGTATATCTTCCAAACCATACTCTAACACAGACACATCAACACCACAACACACAGTCCTGTCCTCCATAATACACATTCCCACAACCCAACACACACACACCTCCAACACATATCCACACTCAAAACCCATCAACACCTAGCATACCAACAAACAACTCAAAACATCCATGTACAACCCGCATCAGTGCATGTGCTTGTGCTTCAACTACACACTTATCCCAGCACCCAACACAATACACATACTACTTACAGCAGCAGGCGATTTCTGTTCCCTTCCCAAACCAAACTCAAAACATACAAAGTAAGGTCCAACACACTTAAACACATACGAAACGCAAACACATCCTAATGCATTCTCACAATGGAGCCTGCACCCCACCTCCCAGCAGCAGCACAACCTCTCCAACAGCCCGACTCTAGGCTCCACCGGGCACATTCGTCTTCAGTCCCTCCCTTGGGAGCTGCTCCCAGCCTACCTCTCAGGAGCAGGCTGGGGGCACTGAGGCAGGCAGTTCCTGGCAGGAGCACGGGGACAGTGAACCCCAGGCCCTTCGACTCCAGCCCTGCCCCTGAACTTCCTGGGCAAACCAGCCACGCAGGAGCTGCTGGGCACAGTCACCACTTCCTCCTCACCCCACTTCCCCACCCCGGGCCAGCCCAGTTCCCTCCGTTCGGGATCAGCCTCTCCCTGGTCTTTGTTGAAGACTGAGCTAGTTGAGGCAAAGGGGCACTAAAGGAGGATGTTGGGTTGTCAACTTCCACGGAAACAGATGAAGAAACTCTATTCAACTGAACAGAAAAAAAATTTGTCAACAGAAAGCTAAAATTAGGCTTAAATTGAATTTCAACATAAGAGAAAGAGAAAGAGAGAGAACAGAACGTGAATGAATAAAACTAAAACACACCTGTGCCAGGAGTTGCATAAATGAATCAACAATATCAGGATGATCCCTGGGCCCTAAAATATAATAAAGATGGAACTTAAGAAAAAATTATACAAACAGCAACTCAACCTCATATAGTTATGTGGGACTGAGAGCCTGCAGGGAGACAGCGTGGGGGCACATGAGCAGCAGGAAGCAAGATAAAGAAACAAAACATACAAAAACCATGAACTGGGAGAAGCCCAACAGAAAGAGACGGCAAAGTGAAAGACGGGCCTGCCCCAGCTCCCCCCAGGGGGCCTTCTGCCTACTCGCCACTCCTCCTCAGGTCAGTCCCCCAGTGATCCCTTGGTGCTCAAGCAATTCTGGACTCTATGGAGCTGAAGAAACGGCCCCCATACTCTTGCTGTAGCCTCTGGAAGGCTGGGGTAGCCCTACACTGCTTCCTAGCACATACCTCCCCATCACCAGCCATCGAAGAGGAGAGCAGGGCTGGTGGTGGGTCAGTCCTTGGTATCTCCTTTGAGGCTTGGCTGCAGGCCCTGGAAAGGCCAGGGCATCAGGATCTGAGCAACTGCCCCCTCATTACGATGGCCTTAGGGCTCTTGGTCTGGCTAAGGAAAGGAATCTATTGGGTCCACTTAAACCAGAGGACTCCCATCCTGGGTAGGACAGTGGTATGCCATGGGGATGGCTGGGCAAGGCACTGGTAGGGCCCAGGGGAGGAAACAGCATCATAAGGTCAAAACAATAGCCCCACCCCAGCAAAGCTCCTCCACATGGTCATAGACTCAGCAGAGAGCCAAGCTCAGGGTTGAGGACCAGCTCCCACCATCTGGACAGGCCAAGAAAGAGGGAAACCAGTCACCGTGTCATCCCATGGTCCACTGGGAAGGCAGAGTCTGAGGAAGGAATGGCTAAGACTGGGACAGCCTAACAGGTATGGGGGCCATCCTCTATAGCAAGACAACCAACAAGCCCAACAAATATGATGTTGGACACTTCTGCCTCCAGTTCTGATGATTCCTCAGGCAAGAATAAAGCATGCAACTGGAGCTCCTACCCAGGCTACTCCACTCTCAGGAGGATATGGTGCAAAACCATCTGCCTAAGACACCACTAAGTAGCTGTGTGATCTTGTGCAAGCCACAAATGCTCAGTTTTCCCATCTGTAAAGTAAATCATCTCTGCCCTGCTTTCTTCTCTGGGCTAGGAGCCACTAATAAATAAAACCTTTCCCTTTCATATCTGAACCCTGAGGTACTTAAATCCTGGCAAGTAAAGCCCAATGTGCCCCACGCCTGGTCCCACTACAGAACAGCAGGTTCGATGTTCAGCAGCCACCTTGCTGGAGGTGGGCCAGGCAGTGAGGAAGAAAGGTTCCAAGGGCAAGGATCCCTCACTCTCCTTTATTTAACAGTGTCTGAGACCTGCTCTATTCTGGCCTCATTCTGGGCACTAGGAATGTGGAGAGAAGAGACTCAACCTTGCCCTTGAGGAGCTTAGTCTAGGAAGAGGGACAGACATGAAGGCTGATTATTGTGTGTGATTGGTGCTGTATCAGCAGCGTGTACATGATGCCATTTCAGCAGAGTTAAAAGCACCCGATTCTGCCTCAGAGAAGTTTCTCTGAGGACTGATATGGTCTTCCTCCTTTCCAAGGCACGAAGGAGTGAGAGTTCATCCAGCAAAGGGCATAGGGCATTCCAGACAGAGAAGCAAGCACAGGATCCAATGGGACATGGTAAGGAAAAAGTCAGTGTGGCTGGAATGTTGGAGTCGTGAGGACATTGGCAGGAGAGGACATTAGAGGTGTGCCAGAGCTTTGTCATGTGGGTGGGGAGGGGATAATAATCTCAGGGCAATGGAAGCAATGCAAGGGTTTTAAGCCAGGGAGGAAAAATGCTCAGATTGGTGTTTTTATAAAGAACATTATATCTGTAAGTTGCAGAATAGACTGGAAAGAAGGGTAGATGTCAAGGAAACCAGGTAGCAGGTTGGTGAGGTAATCCCAGGGAGATCCTAAACTGAGGCAGTAACCATGGATGGTGGGTCCAAGGGGGCTGGCTGAGGGATAATCAGGAGCCAGCATTGCCAGCACTTGTCCCAGATAAGGTACGAGGAGTGGGATAGTGAGAGGACAACCACACCTGGGTTTCTGGCTCAGGTTTCTCCCCAGTTTGGAGCTAGCCCATGGCCCACAGAAACAGAGGCCAGGATCATGGGCCCAGACACTGAAGATATGAGCAGAGAGCATTCTGGGCTCCAGCTGTGACCCCTGGTGAGCCTCAAACCTGGGACCATGAAGCTAGGCAAGACTCACAAGGCCGCCAGAGCAGCACTGTTCCTTTTCCAAGCTGGAAGCATGGGTTAGACAGCACAGGAAGCCTGGAGCTCCTGCTCCCAACACTCTTGGGCAAAGGGCCACAGTGAATTGGGGGCTGGTACCATAGCCAAAGGTACTTGACTTCTGGCCTAGAAAGGACTAAGCCTTGATGTAGGAAAAGTAATCACACTTTCTGAATACTTCATGTGCAAAAACCCCAAGCCAGGGGCCCAGAAGGTACAACTTTAATACCTAAAACAATCATCAGGTATACGGTATCTCCATTTCACAGATACGGAAATGAAGGCTCAGCAAAGGTAAGTGACTTGCCCAAGGACACACAACTAGTTGGTGGTGATGAGCTTAGAATCTAGGTCTGACTTCAAAGCCCACGCTCTTTCCACTTTTCATTATGTCCCAAAGGAAAGGAGCCAGCCTAGTGCCCCAAGTCCCTCAGAGCCTCTGCCCACCTTTCTCCATATCCAGACAGGCCCTCGGCCCAGTAGAAGACATCAGGCCAGTAGAAGACACCATTCGCCCTCTTATCCACTTCAACCTAAGGTTTCAACTATTTGTAAGGTGAAATTGTGCTGTGCTTGATCCCACAAGTTTCCCATCAAGTCCCATGTGCAACTCAGGGGACAGAGGAGAACAGAGTGGGCAGCTTTGGCTCCCCAGTTGGGGAAGCAGAGGCAGTGGCAGTGGCGGCAGCAGCAGAGACCCCAGTCAGGACCTACCTTGCTGGAAGAGAGTGAGTGTGACGGAGGTGACGAGCAGGAAGAGGGCCTCAATTGGAGGAAAGTGGGCAGGCTCGTGAGCAAAGATGTGAACCAGCTACAACAAAGCAGGGAATTCTAGTCAGTTGAGGCCCAGTCTCACGAGGACAAGTCAACACCCCTGGAATGTAGGTGGGGACCCAGCCATGACAGACATCTGACCCACCCCCACCCAGGATCAGGATCTTTGACTAGGATGAAATTCCAGAACACTGGCTGCCCCAACCAGAAGGCCCACCTGCCGCGTGAGGTCAAGAGCAGAGGCCTGGGGGATAGTGCTGTACATCCGACCCAGCATCTCACACAGCTGTGGCACCATGGGGGCAAAGTCATCCAGCAGCGTCTTAACAGACTTCTCAAAGATAGCGCATACCGCCTTGGGAAGAAAGCAAAGGGGCCCCATTCAGCAGATCACAATTGGCTGGAACAGAACTGAAGCCCTGCACAGAACGCCTAAGAAAGGACCCTTACCTATAAGCCTTGCCTGGCCCTGCAAACCAAGGAAGGTAAGCAGGTCTGACCCTCACCCTGAAAGGCAGAGGACAAAAAGGCCCTTCACAGAGGGGCACAGGATATAACTTCATAACTTAACTCTTGCTACTTATATCTCCACCATTTCCTCTCAGGGAACAGCAACAGCAACAGCAACAAAAACCTGAATTGAAAAGGGACCAAAGGCAGGTCTCTGATGCTAAAGCAGATGCTTGACTGTCACTCAACCCTAACATCATACTCCTCTTGTCAAGCACTTCTTGTGATACTGGGGAGTTCTAAATGTCTTCCCAAAAGATTCCCTGTGTCTGTGAGGCAGGATTTGCCTCTCCTATTTTCTCCATACCATCACAAGCTGAGTGGGGGCAGCAACACCTTACTCCTGCTCCATCTCTGAGCAAACTCACCATGGGAGCAGAGGACAAGGGTCAGGGCTCACCTCTACCACCTGGGCATCATTCAACCATTTGCTCAGCACCTTCTGGATAAGCTGGAAGACCTGCTGCAGTACCACCACCACCTGAAGACACAGGGAGAAGTGAGGTGCCCCTGCCATCACTTGTGACCCACCTGAGAAGGACTTGGTAGAAGTGAGTAGGGAAGGGGTTTAAAACTATTATCCCAGACTACATATTGAGGACTCAATGCATGGGACCCCTGGGAAAAGAAGTGGTTTGCTGAACTCCCCTGTGAATGAAAGAGGAGGATATCCTGAATTCTAGGAATCATCTCAAAGGAAGCCTCAAACTGCAAAGCAAATATATCACAAGTGCTTCATGAGATTATGAAAACTTTGTAAACTTAAAAAAAAAGATCAACCAGACATGGTGGCTCATGCCTGTGATCTCAGCACTTCAGGAGCCCAAGGTGGGAGGACTGCTTGAAGCCAGGAGTTTGAGACCAGCCTGGGCAACGTATCGAGATCCTGCCTCTACCAAAAAAATGTTTTTAACTGGCTGGGCATGGTGACATATGCCTGTAGTCCCAGCTACTTAGGAGGCTGAGGCAGAAGGATTGCTTGAGCTCAAGAATTTGAGGCTGCAGTGAGCTATGAAGATGCCACTGCACTCCAGACTGAGTGACAGAGACAGACCCTGTCTCTAAAAACAAACAAAAAACACCACTCCCTATCCATCTCTACTCAGTAAAACCAAAGCAACGGGCTTGCCCTTGAAGAAGTGGAGATGCTGTTTCATCCAAAGGCTTGGTGTAGGGAGCCCCAAGGGATGTGTTGATGTGGGTAGCTTATGGAGGAGGAGGGAGCAGACTGAGGTCCTAGTAGGTGAGGGAAGGCAGGATGATGACTACCACAAAGGAGAAGGGGCTCTATGGGACCATGGTGGCCCAGATGTGGTCTGGAGCTAAAAGGGTAACTGAAACTGGGGTGCGGAGTTGAGCAGAGAAACTAGGATACCTATCGCTTCCTTTTCTTCATGAGAAACCCTGGAGGGTATTCTTGGAACAATGACCACAGCAGTCCTTCGTATTTGTAAAGAACTTTACAATATGCAAACTACTTTTACTCAAGACCATATCTGCTATCCATCACAGTTCTATAAGATGAGCAAACCAGACATTCCCATGTTTATAGTTTTGAATGGGAAGCTGAGGCTTGCCCCAGATCAAACAGCCTGGAGGCCCCAAGTCCCCTGTGCCTAAGCTTATCACAGTACCTATCACACTGCTTTGTGACAATCTGTTTACATGCACGTCCTCCAGATTGGATGCAACTTGAAGGCAAGAACTATTACATGCAGAGGATGTAATAAGCATCCTCAGTGCCCACATGGGACACTAAATGCTGAAGTAGAAGGCTCCACAGAGTAGGGGGTTGAACAGCAGTCCATAACAACATTACTTGAGGGTTGAAGGATATAATGTCAGGGTCCCTCATGGAACCCAGGAATTGGGCCGGGTACAAGGGCAATATCACCCACAGGACTGAATGAGACAATGCCATCACTAGCTACAGAGTGGGGCGAATGATAAGGTCATTCACAGGGCCACAGGACCAAATACATCACCCCTATTGGGGCCAGGGGTAATGACATTATCCACAGAGTTGACGAGTGGCCATGACATTCCCACGGTTTGGGAGGGGGGGATGGCAAAGACAATGTCACCCACGGGGTTGGGTCCCTGTGGCACTGGCAGCTTCCGAAGCTCAGGGCCTTCATGATCATCCTCATGATGACTGACATCCAGTGTGGTGAAGAGGTTGGAGAGAAGCCCCAAGATGTGCACAATGGCCAGCTTGTTGGAGGGATTGGGCTATGGAGAGAAGCAAACCAAGCTCCAGATTTCCCAGCCCCAGCTTGGTCCCCAGATCACTCAGCTCCAGCTCTGAATGCCTCTTCCAGCCCCACCCCTTATCAGCCACAGCCCACACAAGGGAAAGCCCCAGAGTCCCAGTGCTGCTCCCTGGCCCCCAGAGCTCACTCACTATCTCTTCTGCCAGCTTCTCCAGCTGTTGGATATAGGGCGAGATGAGTGAGTGCAGGTTCTTAAGGATCTCCTCCACCTGCAGAGCTGACAGCAGGAAGCCCAGTGCCTGCATCAACCACATGCACTGGCTCGTCTGTGGGGCAGAACATGGATGGTCAGTCCTGGCCACATCTGGTTGTAGGTGTGAAGGAGAATGAGCCTCTTGGAGAAGGTTCCAAAAACAAAGAATCAGGGACAAGGGGTAGGGGAAGGCAAAAGATAGGATTTCTGGGATAAGAGAGTCCCATAAGACCCATAAGGAACTAGAAACTCTTGAGCCACACCTTGTGGATTTGTTTCATCAGCACATCCTGGGGATAAAAAGAAGGAAGGTAATATCAGCACAGTGTAGAATGTGCCCTGAGGCCCAGCACCACCCAGGGCCTCTGCGTACCTGGGAGACAGCCACAATATTGGCAGCATAGGGCGGCAGGTCATACTTGCACTCACGGCAGATCTTCTTGAGGGTGGAAACAGAAGAGACAGAGAGCTCAGGATTGCCTAGGGCATGCAGTACAAGGGGCAGAACGCTGTTGATCATAACAGGGTGGTCAGCTAGCCATTCAGACAGAGCTCCTGGAGGAAGAAGGAAGAAAGGAGGATCTCTGAGGCAGGCTGGGCTGGCTTTGTACCATGTCCCCAAGGTAGACAGAGCTCCTGGCAGGATCAAGTTGCAGTCCAGCACAGATCATTGCTCATTAAGATAACCGAATGGACAAATATGCATGTGCATGCTCAAACATAAGCCTTACAGCTGAGAAGCAGGAAAGGGTTACTCAACAGAGGCCCAGCACTGCTGTTCCATTGACAATGAACTAGCCTCACTGAACTGCAGCTCTGTAACACTGTAGGAGGATGCCTAGACCTGCCAGGACAGCCAGTTGGCTGCAACAACGATTGCACATGTGGGCATGTGTCCCTCCCATTTTGGATAGGACCCAGCATGCTGGCTGTGACTGGGGATGGGTGCTGTGGCTCTGGGAATGTGGTCACAGGCATGTGCCGGGTCTCACCAATGGTGAACATGACAGTATCTGCCAGTTGCACGTTGCTGATGCTGATTCGTGGGATGAGTCCAATGAGCCCAGGTACCACATCAGAATAGTTGACGTCAATGGTCTCTGCGATGGATTGGAAGCCGTAGAGCAGGGCCTCTGTATGCTGGGAAAAGAGGGTGCCACTGGCTTGGCTGAAGAGGAGGGTGTGACAGGTCTGGGAGGGCTGAGGGAATCAGGCTTGGGAGGTACCTGCCAGGAGTAGGGCTCCTCTGAGCTGGTGAGCAAACGGCCCAGTTTGTCATAGAGGTTGCTGAGCAGCTCGGCCCCCAGCATCTCGTAGACATACATGAGCGTGTCTGAGATGTCCACCCTGAGAAGCAGATGAAGGCCTTTTATACTGCCTGGATCCTGACCACAAGCCCTGGAGCCTACCCCAGTACCCTCACAACCCTGCAAAAATGCCTAGAAAATAGAGAAAGGAGGCTCAGGAAGCCTGGCCTTGGGCTCCTTCCCTCGTTGCCTTCATTATTTCTTTTTTTTTTTTTTTGAGACAGAGTCTCACTGTGTTGCCCGGGCTAGAGTGCCGTGGCATCATCCTAGCTCACAGCAACCTCAAACTCCTGGGCTCAAGCAATCCTACTGCCTCAGCCTCCCGAGTAGCTGGGACTACAGGCATGAGCCACCATGCCTAGCTAATTTTTTCTATATATTTTTAGTTGTCTGATTAATTTCTTTCTATTTTTAGTAGAGATGGGGTCTCGTTCTTGCTCAGGCTGGTTTCGAACTCCTGAGCTCAAACAATCCGACCGCCTTGGCCTTCCAGAGTGCTAGGATTACAGGCGTGAACCACCACGCCCGGCCCTGCCTTCATTATTTCAAGGACTCCATTTAGGGCTAGGGTTGGTCGGCTACCATCACCTGTAAATTCGGAACTGCTCCTTCTCATCTGAGGACCAGAATCCATATTCCTCATCAGAAGGGAACTGGGCCTTGTGCAGAAGCACATCCACCAGCTGGAAGTAGACTGGCCGGTACACTTGCTGGTACACAGCCTGCTTCTCTGCCTCAAAGGACAGAATGTCATCCTGAGAGAACAGGGAAGAGAATTAGCCACCTCACCAGCAGCCATAGAAGCCCCCATAATCCACCTTCTTCCATCACTGCCCAGTCCTACTGGAGGTCACAAAGACACACCTGCAGTGTGTACCAGAAGGTGAGGGTTAGGGAACTGGTAGTCTCATTGACAGGATAGTGGCCAGGGATGCCCGTGCAGAACATAATCATGTTGACAAGTGCCAGAAAGCTCTGCCAGTGCTCTACTTGGTCCAGCAAGGCCCTGGGGATGAAGAGACATAGTAAGGTCATTCTATCACTCTCAAAGGGGTTCCATAACCCCATTCTTAGAGGGCCCTGCTATCCCACCCCCAGCTAACCCACTCCTCACCGGGAGTGGTTCTCGCCCAGAGCAACAGCAATGCGACAGATGCCATGGGAGGTCTCCATGTCCCCATTCTGCACTGCCTGTCGCAATTGTTCCTGCAGTCCCAGCACCAGTGGGATGAGTTTCAGGAGTGTGTTCACATACCTGGAGGCATGAAGTGAGAAAATCCATCAGAACTGTCTGCCCACCCCTCCAGCAGTTTTGAGAGAAAGGTACAATCTCCCTGTCTTCTATCAAAGCCCTCCTCCCCATATCAAATCCTAAGCAAAAAAAGGTCAGAGCCTACATGGCAGCTTTGATGCTGCCCATTTTGGGAAGAACCTTAGGTCAGGGACCTCCAGGAGAACCCTGGAAAGGAAATAGGAGAAGGTCAGTGTTATGGGTTGAATTGTGTCCCCTAATTGGACTGAGAGTTGATGCTACAATAAGTTAAGACTTTTAGGGAGGTTGGGATGCAGTGAATGTAGTTTGCATGTGTTAATGACATGAAGTTTGAGGGTCCAGAGGGCAGATTGTTATGGGTTGAATTGTTCCCCCACCAAAGATACATTTTTTGATAAGTCTAACCCCCAGTACCTCAAAATGTGACCTTATTTGGAAACAGAGTCATTGCAGATGAGGTCATACTGAAGTAGGGTGGGCCCCTAATCCAATGACTGGTGTCCCTAAAGAAGACATCCATGTGAAAACAGAAACATAGGGAGAAAGCGACGTGAGGACGAAGGTACAGACTGCAGTAATGCAGCTGGAAGCCAAGGAATGCTAAAGATTGCCAGCTAAAGAAACCAGAAGCTAGGAGGAAGCAAGGAAAGATTCTCTTACAGGTCTCAGAGGGAACATGGCCCTGTCAATACCTTGGTTTCAGACTTCTAACCTCCACAATTGTGAGACAATAAATTTCTGTTGTTTAAAGCCACCCAGTTTGTGGCATTTTGTCACAGCAGCCCTAGGAAACTAATACAGTGTTAGGGGAAAATGAATAAGGATGAATAAGAGTGGGAGACAGAAGAGTTAACACAGACTCAGGAGCTCTGTTAAAGAAGACTTGAGAAAGCAGCAACAGCTCATGAGAGTATCAATCCCCACCAGCCACTCCACTCTCTACCACCAAATCCCAACTGCTGTGTCATCTGGTGGCAGTAGGAAAGGAGAGAAGTAGATGATGAACTCAGAGAGAGCTAAGAGGCAAAATGGACAAGACTTGATGATTGACTGGATATAAGGATGGGAAAGAGTCAAAGACAATTCTCAGGTTACTGGATAAACAACTAACTAGATGGTAAAGCTATTTACTGAGACCTGGAGGGGTGAGTAGAGGGAAACTGTAACACCTTTGATGGGAGGTGGGAAGGTGATAGGTTCCATATTAGGCATGTTGACTCAGAGGCACCTGATAGGATATGCAGGTAGAAGGATCCAGAAAGAGCTAGATATAAAATGCTGAAGCCCAGCAGAGAGGTTAGAGCAAAAGACATAGATTTGAGAGTCATCAGCTAACAGCTGGTAATTGAAACTATGGGAATAGATGAGATTTGCCCAGGGAGAAAATGTTGAATGAGAGAAAAGTTCTAGGTCAGAGCCCTAAAGCACAATGATCCCTAAAGGAGGAGCAGAGGAAGCCCAGTATACAAAGGAGACAAAGAGATGGCTAGCTCCATCCCACTGGACTCCTCCCTAGCAGCCTGCTCTGTGGAGATCAGACTAAGCAGAAGAAGCCATACTCTCAGGGGGGATCAGATGCTTGGGCCCCTCTGCTGTCACTCATACTATTACCACAACAATCTATGTAGGGAGAGGGGACTGAGAGTCTAGAAGGAGTTCTATCTGGACTTGCCCTAAGCAGGTTCCTAGGCAGTAGCCTTATAACCTTAGTGAGAGGACGAGGAGGACAAAAAGAGGCAACCAGCCCAGGAACACTGGCCTCCTTCTCCACATTCCCATTTCCACATTCTTGTAGGAAAACTCATCCATACCAGCATACTCCCAGCCCAGAGATAGCCCCAGAGGGTGCCGCCTGGAGACAGCTGGGATAGCTTCGGTCTCATGACCCTGACACGGGCTGCACCACCAGACAATGGACATTTTCAGGCCAGACTCTGGCACAAAAAGCAGGGGCAGGGCCAAGTCTATGGCACACAAGCTCCCCAGCAGCTGAGATGAGGGCAGGAGGTAGTGCCCTACCCCCATAGCATCCCCACGGTATTCCAAGGCTGCAAAAGTTCACACAGATAGCAGGTACTCAGTGAAGGTTCTTCATTTGTCTTATCTAAGCCTCATAATAGGACAAATCAAGGACAATGTAGCCTAGAAGGGCTGAGTATTACTCAAGGTCATACAGCAACTTAGAGGCGGATTCCTGGTTGAAACAGCCCTTTAAACTGCTAGAGGTCCGCTTTCTTTTAGGGCCCAACCAGAATTCCCCCAAAGGATCTATGTAGATCTCAGTCCATATAACCGATGGGAACCCCCAACAGCCTAATTCACTTTCTTTCCTCCCCTAACCCCCAGTGCAAAGCTTTTCTAGGATTAAAAACATATTTCAGGGGAAAAAAAAAAGTATATTTCAAAGGAGAGAGCCAGGAAGCAGTAGCAGCTGTGGAGGAGCAGAAAATGGGTGCCTTGAGTGCAAGCTCAGCCAGGGGAGGGCAAATGTCAGGACGCCTGGGGAAGGAAGTGCCTGGATGACCCAGGAATCAAAGCCACTGAAGGTGACTTTCCCAAGCCCAAGCTAGGAAACTAGTCTGGATAGAGCAAGGTCCAAGATCTGACTGTGGGCTGGGTGTAGCTCACCCATGGAGATAGATTTCCTACCACCTGAGCACCTGTGTCTGAGACCTGTGAGTGTACAGAAGAACAAGTCTGAGGCCCCAGAGGTTTCTAGGTTTGGATGAGGGAGACAGGGAGGATGTCTTTAGGATCATAGCTGAGGCTGGGTTCAAGATGCCTGGCTCCAGTTGGTCAACATGAGCAGCTGGGCAGGGCTGCTGGGACTCCTCGGCTGTTGCTCACACTGAGCTCAGCCCAGACCTGCAATTAGAGCTCCAGGAGCAGAGCTGAGAAAATGGGGAGAGTTGCTAAGCAACCAAGGGGCTGCAGCCAATGGGCGCCCAGGAGGCTGTGGGTTACCTCACTGGCTCCTTGCTTTCTCATTCGTTCAGAGGAGAAGGGGCATCAATTACCTGTCAAAGCCCTTGAGACTGGCTGGGCGGGTAAACTCGGGTGTATCCAAGGACATCCCACATCACCCACATACTTCCCCTGATCAGTTCCCTTAGTCACCAACTGTCTGAGCCCATCCAGCACTTGAGCTTCAGGCTGCCAAGATAGGCCTTGTCCTGGGACTTGGTATTCACCTTAAGCTGGAAAACCTGGGAAACTAAGGCACAGGTATCATAATAACTGCCAATACAATAATGATACCAAATACTAGCAAATGCCATTTATGGAGTACACAGGAACCATGCTAAACCCTTTTCCAGACATTCTCTTATTTAATCCTCATACCAAAATGTTCTTTTATTTTTTTAATCAACCCCAATGTTTTAATTTAAAGTTTTAAAAGGCAATGGTGAAGCACATTATCTATGATAATGCATATGCATGTGTTTGTATGTATGCATATGCATACATATACATATATAAAAGGTACCAACCCTTTTCCAATTTTAGCCACTAATCAACTAGGCCCACTGTCTGTTACATGATTCACTTTCTACTTCTTTATATGTGAGAAAGGTAGAACACACAATCACACACAGTCCCCAATTTAAAACGTGATGTAAGAGTGACCTACATGTACAAATGGGTGCTGCTGACTCCCCCACCCCACCAGTGGCCACAGAAAAACTCCCATTACTCAGGGAGTCAAAATATTCTTTACTGATACCAAGGGCAGACCCTGTGCATATTATCCTATTTGAACCATTACAACAACTCTGTCAGGTTGATAAGATCACCCCATTTTACTGATGAGGAAACTGAGGCTTAGAAGTGGCTCACCCAAGGTTTCAGATCTAGTAAGTGAACTATCTGGGATTCAAACTGAGACGTGACTAACGCCAAGGCTAGAGCCATTAACCACTCCTCCACGCGGTCTCTTTCAGCGGTTTTCCCCTCCAACTCTGCCAAGTGTTCCCAAAGTCCTAACTCTGAAATGTCAGTGTCAGGCCTCCAGTCTTGCCCTTTCCAATCCAACTTATACCAAACATCTCAGCAGGCCATTTTCTCTGCTTAAAATCCTTTAATATCTTTACATCATCTTCAGGATGATGACCAAAATCTTCAGCTTGGCCGACAAGGTCCTGCATGATCTAGGCCCAGATCTCTTACAACTCTGGCCCTTAAACCCTGCTGTCTAATCACACCCAACAATTTACAAATCACCAGACTCCCCAGACTCTTTCACACCCTTCCCTTGCTCAAGCTCTTTCATCTGTCTGCAATGTCCTCCTTGTCCATCACCTCCATCTGGCTAACTCTTATGCAGCCTTCCAAGCACAGATGAGTTGTGACTTCCTCCAGGAAGCCTTTCACAAGCCTTAGACTGGGTTAAAGCCTCCTCTGGGCTCTTAGAACCCCTGCTTTCTCCAGAACAGCATTCGTCATGTTGACTGTACTTTGCCCATTAGTGTGTCCCCTAGACTGTAAGCTCCTGACACATAGAAGTTAAAGCATACATCTATGTGCTTTCAGTGCTCAGCACAGGCCTGACACAGCAGGTGCTCAAAGAACTTTCACCACTGCACTACAGTTTCTTTTGGGCCCTTGAATGTACCATGATGCTGCCTACCACAGGTCTTTGTACTTGCTGTGGTTCCTGAAGCCTGAACACACCCCACTTCTCCCCCAGTCTCCTCTACCCCCACCCCTCCCCACTCAGGCAACTCCTACCTTCATCATTCAAAAAATATTGAATGCTATCATAGGCACAATGTGACAAAGGAAAATGACAAAGTCCCCATCCTCACAGACTAATGGGGAGACATACATTAATTTATAATGAAATCATGTTGTAGGCTAAGAAGGAAAAATACTGGAAGCTTGGAGATAACAGAGAATACCAAACTTAGTTTTAAAAGTCATTGAGGACTTCCTTATGGAAGTGAAGTTTAAGATGAGGCAGAAGTAATGTGTCAAGTACATATGGTGGTTTGGAGGCTAGAAGGAGCATGGGACACTCAAGGAACTGAAAAGACCATGTGAGAGTGTAGAAAGCAAGGAGAGTAGCATGAGATGAGGATGATGACGCCATATGGGGCAGCACCTTTACGAGTGACATTAGAGATTCTGAACTTTATCCTAAGAGCAATGAGAAGCCACCGAAGGGTTCTGATTAGAAAGGAAAGATCAGATCCTCATTTTCAAAAGATCACTCTGGCTGCTGGGACAATGAAGGGTACAAGAGTAAAAACCAAGGGACTGGTGAGAAAGCACTGCAGTAATCTGGGGAGAGAGATGATGACAGCTTGGACTAGGGTGGTAGTAATGGAAATGGAAAAAAATAGATTTGCAATATGGTCAGGAGAGAACAGCTAGGACTTGGTGACTGGTTGAGCGAAAGAAAAGAGCCAAATATTTTAATGGAATAATTCACTGGATGATAAGTTGTTTAACATCTGCCTTCCTCTATGAACCATGAGGATAGGGACCATGTCTTGTTTGGTTCCTTCCTATATCTCTAGCATAGGACCAGGCATGCAGTAGGAACTCAATTAATGTTTACTGAACAGATGGATGGATGTGTAGCTGACCAAGAGGCTCTCCCTCTCTGGGCAGGTGGGGACCAGCTCACCTCTGGGAATCAGGCTGTGAGATGGCGTTGACAATGGCCTCCACACTGCTGTCGAAGAGCTCTGAGTCCTGCAGGGCAGCGAAGGCAGCCTGAATGAGTGCCTCACAGTCCTGCAGTGGCACCTCCAGCTGCACCCAGCTGGAGAAACATTTGAGCACCTTCTGACGCACACAGCTGGGTGAGCTGGGTTGCTGTAGCAGCTGCTCCAGCAATGGGAAGACAGCCCCACACTCCACTGCCAGGCTGGCCCGTACCAGGCCTTTGCGGTATTGGGGAAGGCGGCTGGTCTGGAACTCCTCAGGCAGCACTGTCAACAGTTCTAGCAGGGCCAGGCAGCGGCCCTGGCCATCCACTGGTGAGTCCTCAGCCTGGAAGAGTCGTACCATATCTGCCACAGCACATGGCCAAGCATCAGGCATCATGCTGAGAGCCAGTGAGGCCAGTGCCACGCACAGCCGAGTCAGCACAATCTTGGAGCCACTGGCAAAACGGGTGATCTGAGTGAAGAGCTGTGCCTTTAGGCTTTCATACTGGTCAGTGGGAATGTCACTCCAGTAGCGAGAGATCTTGATATGCAGAGCACTGGCCCCAAAGTACTGGATCTCAGGCACCTTGTCAGGCTGCAGTAGCTGCCAGCTGAAGTGCCAGGCCTGTGGGGAGACCTGGGCCTGCATCAGCCACTTCTGAGCCAGGTTCTTGTTCTCAATGTTAGGGTCGTAGTAGAGCTGGTGCAGCGCCTGCAGGACAGCACAGGACTGAACAGGTGCTGGCCACTCTGGATCCTGCCAGAGCCCAGAACAGAGGCGTGACTTGGTCCTGCAAGACTGCTCTCTCTCCCTGACTGGGGGGCTGAGCAGGGAGAGCCCAGGGCTCTGCAATGTTTCCTGAGCCTGGGGTCCTGCTGCTATCTTGAGAGCCTGAACCTTGCCCATGCCCTACCATATCCTCTTCTTCTTATAGCAAAACGTTATAGGTTCAGACAGGGAATCTCCACAGGAAAGCAGAAAAAGAGGAGGCTGAGCTCCCCAAAGGGGAGGCACTTGAGGGCAAGGCCCAGGTGAAAGGAATGGCTCCACAGGGATGAAGCTAAGCCTGAGAAGAGCATGTAAAAGCCTGAGGGGCCTTGACCCTCCCAGGCACAGCTGCTCCCATCAACTCCAACAGCTCCTTTTGGCTCCCCCAGGATCACCCCTAGGTCACTTCAGATGCTGGCACCAAAGCCAGCGTGAAATTTGAGCAGGACTAATACTTTCGCCAGGCAGCCCTGGGGCAGAGACATACTGGAGGGGGAGAGGGAGAACATCCCTCAGAGAGCATATGTGAAGGTCCAACAAGCTGATCCAGAGAAGCCTTGGCCATAGCTGCAGCCCTGGCAAGTGCCTAGCCAGGAGCTCTCAACTAGCAGAATCCCCCCAGGGTCCCAATTCCAATGGGACTTCATAAAGTAAGAAAACAGTGATTTATCTCCCTGGTAGCACATGGAACAGTACGCCACCATGCCAACACTGCCCATCCCCAAGGGGTGGGAGAGTGAAGCCAGGACCCTGACTCTTAAGCAGGCTCCATCCAAGTAGGCTTAGCTCTATTTGTACCCCTGAAAGCCAGTGATGACCATTGTCCCTTGTTGGCCCCTCAGGGATGCCAAAGCAGGCAGAAAACTGAGGCAGAAGGGATGCATCCTCACCATTTGTTAAGGCAAACAGGGGTCAAGAATAACAAGTGCACATCTGCAACCATCCCTTGCTTTCCAGCAAGGTAGTCCCATCTCCCCATTCATCCCAGGGTGCATACATTCCTGCATTCCAGGCTGCAGGGAGCAGATGCAGAAAAGAACCAGAGAAGCAGTTCAGAGAAGATGGACTGGGCAGTGGGGATGCCTGGGAGGGTCATGGCAGGGAGCTATGTGGGCAGATGAGTCGGAAAGAGCCCTGTAAGGTTGCCAGCAGGGCCAGGACCCCTGGACACAGCACAAAACAAAGGGAGCCAGTCCCAGTCCTGCCTGCCCAAGACTGGTCTGGCTTTCATCCAATAACAGAAGGACCCTTCTCCAAAGCAGAGTGAAAACATAACCCAGATTGTTTTGGTTCCAGACTATTTTCTGAGCCCTTGGCTCAACAGAGTCAGGTCCAGGATTGTTCAGCATCAGTATGGTTCCCGGGGACGGAGCTGCAGGTCTCCTGGGTTCCCGGTTTCCTACCGCACTGCTCATGCAGTTCCCATGAAGCTGGAGAACAGCCAGTCTGGCTGGAAGTCTAAGCCATCAGCACCCTGAAGGGACCATCCCAAGAACCTAGAGGACTGTCCGTAGCGACCCATCTCTAAGGAAAGCCAAAAATAGCCCATTAGGGCACTGCAACACTGCTGTCCTGACTGCCCAGAGAGACAGCAAATGCCAGGTGCTCTGGGGGCACCATCCCAGCAGGCATCCAGCCCAGGCCTGAGCTCTGGCATTAGTGACAGTCCCTAGAACTTCTGCTCTGTCACTGGAGTGCCCACCCCAGAGCCATCATACCTTCTCCACGTTCTCCACAGTGAAGTCCAAGGCTGGTGCTGCTCCAGCCCCTGCAGCCCCCGGCTGCTCCTCCCGCCGCTCCATCTTTGCTCCCTCCCTAGCAGGGAGGTGGACCCTGATCTATATCCTGCCCCAGCCCCTTGGCTGCTGGCCCCCTGCTAGACCCTGGCTTGGGTGCCCAGGGAGTGGTGGGGTAAGGGGGGGCCCAGGGCGGGCATGGCTGCCGAGGCCTCCCCACCTCGTTTGGGGGTGGGGGGCTTGCCAGAGACCAAAAGGGGTGCTCTTAGGAGAGCCACTGAGGGGGACTCCAAGGAGGGAGCCGTCAGTGAGGAGCTCGCAGGCGGAGGTCCTAGTGGTAGGTCACGGCTCTGTCCCCAGAATCTGTGAGGAGGGAGTCATAGGAGAGGGAGGCCTGTGGGGTAAACCGAGCCCCTGGCCCGTGAGGGGTCACAGGGTCGATGGCCTGTACCCACAACACCGTCTCGGGGAGCTCTCTGGTGCTATGAGGAGGTCAAGGGGCTGGGGGGTCACGGTAGAGAGAGCCCTTCGCAGGTTATGGAGGCGTCTAATGAAGCGCAGAGGTGCAGCTTCGCGAGTCAGGGGCGAAGAGTCCGTGGAGTTGAGGGGCTGTGGCAGGTCTCCTCCGCTCGGCCCGGCCCGCGCTGTGCTCTCCGCCCGGCTCCTGCCCGGCTACCGCCGCTGCCTCCGCCCCAGTGACTGACAGACAAGCCAGCCCAGCCGGGACGGGGCGGGGACCTTAGCAAGGCGCGGGCTGCCCCGAGCGCCTGTCCCCGGCACTGTCAACTCAGGACCCCACGCCCGCCCGTCCTGGCCCGGCACGGCTCGGCACGGCCCAGCGGAACTGCGCAGAAACTTATTCCGGGTCCTTGGCCCTGTCCTTACGCCAGCCCGCGCGCCCCCGAGCAGGCGACGGAATAGTGCACCGCCCCAAGCCCCCGCCGAGGCTAGGCCCCGCCGCTGTGCACCCTGGGAAATGCAGTCCGCATTGCGCCAGGTCGGAAGGTGGCGCCTTGCGGAGGAGGCCGGGAGCACGTGGGTTGGGGACAGCGGTGCCCTGCCTGTCCTAGGCCTACAGTGGCCAACAGGCGCTCTGGATCAGACCGGTGGGGGGCGCTGCGGCGCAACTCCCTAAGAGGATGTGACTCAAGGGGCCTGTGGATGGAGGAGGGAGCCCGGGCTAGAGGGTAGGGGACGTGGGGAGTCCAGGTCACTCTGGTGCTCCGCTGCGGGGGCATCCTCGGTCCAAGGGGCAGTATGGAAAGAAGGCGTCAGCACCACCCAGGGAAGAGGAGAGGGGGCTTGGCACGCCTCAGGAATAAAAACAGGAAGGCTCTCAGGACCACCCAATAAGCAACCAGGAAACCGCATACCATGGACAGTGCTCGGGGAATTTCATAAGGTTTTGGAAACAACTTCTCTTTATGTGTAATTAGAATAAGAGTAGCTCACATTTAAGTGCTAGGAACAGTACTTTGCATACCTTAGGTTCAATTCTCTCAACGACTCTGAGGTGGGTATTTTTATTCAGCATTTTCACATGAGAGAGGAAACAGAAGTTGGGGAAAGTTAAGCTTATCTTGCCCCCGGATACGCAGCTGGGGTGGCAGAGCCTAGGCATAGATCTAGTCTGCCACATGTCCCGGTAGTCCCTGCCCCTCCAGTTGTCTTTTTATTAACTCCTGCAAGCTACCCTAGCAGGGAAGAAAACAAAATTGAAAGTGCAAAGAGCTCTGTAGTTGTGTTCAAATGGAGGAAGCTGGCACTGGCAGTAGCTGCTGAGGCCTGAGAAGGTTGATGAAGGCTTCCCTGAGGAGGGGAAACTTGATCTGAGCTTGAAGAATGGAGAGAGCCCTGGGAGGAGAGGGGCTTACTTAGCTGGTAAGCAAAGTCCAGTGGGACTCTAGTCATTCAATAAATCTTTATCAAGAAAGTGTTTAGGCCGGGCTCGGTGGCTCACACCTGTAATCCTAGCTCTCTGGGAGGCCGAAGTGGGCGGATTGTTTGAGCTCAGGAGTTCGAAACCAGCCTGAGCAAGAGTGAGACCCCGTCTCTACTAAAACTAGAAAGAAATTAATCAGACAACTAAAAATATATAGAAAAAATTAGCCGGGCATGGTGGCGCATGCCTGTAGTCCCAGCTACTCGGGAGGCTGAGGCAGAAGGATCGCTTGAGCCCAGGAGTTTGAGGTTTCTGCGAGCTAGGATGACGCCACGGCACTCTAGCCCAGGCAACACAGTGAGACTCTGTCTCAAAAAAAAAAAAAAAAAGAAAGTGTTTGAGAACAGCTAGTAATTTGTGTTCAGTTTAAGGGGTATATGTGGGGTGAGGAAGGGGGAGGGTATGAGTAACAGAGATGAGGTTGGAGAAAACAAATGGGGAGTTTTTAGAAGTTTGGACATTATCCTAAGTGCAATATGAAACCATGATGGGGTTTCAGGTGGGCAATGATGATTACATTTACATTTTAGAAAAATCTGTCTGTGATGTGGAGGACAGGTTGGAGGAAAGAGTAGAGGCAGGAGACATTTGGAAGGAGGAAACAGGAAGCCAAAATAAAGTAACTGCTTTCAGACCTGTGCTTAGGGTGTGAAGTACCCTGGGCCTAGTGTTGATTGGAGGTTTCACTGGTGGAAACTTTGGGAAGGGTATGTTAAGAGCGCACATTCTAGACTTAGGCTTGGGTTTAAAACCTGTTTATGCTTCTTTCTAGCCATGATGCCTTCGCTGCTTCTGAAACTCATTTTAGAGAGAGAGAGAACAGTAATTCCTCCAGTGAAAGACAAATTGAGATGATACATGAATAGGGCTCCGCCCAGAGGCCACAACTTGGTCAGTATGAGTTTTCTTCCTACTTCTAATCCAGGGCTTCTTCTCCTCACTCCTAGGGGTTCCACTGGCAGAAAGAAGCCAAGTCTCATCAGCAATGGCTCCTGAACATGCTACTTAGGACAGATGGACTCAAGTAGGCTCTGGGGAAAGTTGGGGGCATTTCTAGAGGCCAGATCAAAGGGGATGTCCAGGAGATGTGGATGGCAGTCCAGGATAGCTTGGAGCTAAGTAGGGGATGAATCTTTGGGAGCCAGTTACAGAAGGGTTCTTTTATAAGGGATAAGAGTAGGACATATAGGGGCCAGAACCTGTGACGACCCTGGAGGGGTCTGCAGATTTAGGAGAAAACATCCCAAAGCTCAGGAGAGGGAAGAGCTTTTTTTGGTCACCTGGAACCACTACCAATCCACGTCCATGTCAAATAAATGATCAGTTTGAAGTTTTTCAGTCTACCAAAATTGTATGAATTTGGTCTGCAGAAGCAGACAAGGGCCTGTTTGTAGTTATGAATTCTCAGGGGAGATTTTTCCCCCTTCCACTTAGCACCTAGGTTGGATGCAGGCAATTTTCTTTATAGTCCTCTGGTGTGAGGGAGAGAGGTTAGGTAGGAGAGGGGCATGTCTATTTCTAATTCACCCTCATAGTGTAGGCATAGCCCTTTCTCCATAGTCCTGGCTTTATGGAGAAATTTCTAAATAGACTCCCCATGGTGAGTGGGCCCTGGGCTTTGTCTTTTTTCTCATATGTTCAGGGACCCTTCACGAACCAATGCTCAGGTCATTGGGTACGGCAACTCTCTCAGGGTAAAGGCCAACTATAGGGCTTCGCTTACTTTTATAGCATCCTTTCTTTTTTTTTTTTTTTTTTTGGCCTCAATGTTTCTTATGTTTTTGCCAGCTTATGGATGCATTTAATTTTTTTAAATATATTTTTTGGGCTAGTATTTTAAATTGTTTTCAGTAGGAAGTTTAGTCCAAGTCCCTAGGCCACCATGTTGCAAGAAAACCCAATGGGCAATTTTCAGTCCTTATGTGACTTGATTTTTCTGCTGCAGTTGGTCCTGTTGACCACTCTCTCCCCCTCTTAGTTTTGTTTTGTTTTGTTTCCTGCCACTCTGACCACTCCCTTTTGGTTTCCTTCACTGTCTTGTCCCTTACCTCTTCCTCAACCCATTCCTTAAATGTTGGTTCTCCTTAGCCTCTGCTTCTCCTCTTATTCCTCTTTGGCTCACCACTCCCTTGGCTTCAAGCTGGGACTCCCAATCTCTCTGGCCCAGACTCTCCTGACTTCCAGACCCACATATTCAGCTGCTTCCAGCCTCCTGGCCTTCTGAAGATGTCATAGTCACTTTAAGTTGAACTGAACCCATGATTTCCCCTACATGTTACCCCTATCACAGGCTAAAATTACTGCATCCCCTGTGTTCCTTACCAGTCACCCAAGACAGAGACCTGTAAACCATCTCTTTCATCAAGCCCTCACAACCAGTTTGTCACCAAATCCTGTTTATTGTGCCTCACATCTCTTCTGCTCTTGCACACTGCTTCTGACCTAAATCAAGGTGCCTGTGCTTATTGCCTGAATAGCACTAACTGCTGCAGCTCTAGCTGGCTCCTGCCTTACCCCTTCCATCTATAGTGGACACAGTGGCCAGTGATCCATCTGAAACGCATCTGTAACCAATCCCTCTTAGAACCCTTCAGTGGCTCCCTGCAGAGCAAAGGTCAAGCTCCTCGGCATAACATTGAGGCCCTTTGTGATCTCTCCAGCCTTATGTCTTGATGAGGACTCTCCCCCAACTCTACACGAAATTGCTGGCAATCCTGGGAACACACCTGGCTGTTTCACACTTCTGTGACTTCATTTATGCTACTGCCTCTGTCAAGGAGGCTCTGTCTCAGTCTGGGTCCAATCAGGAGGGAGAGACCACACAGTAAACACACAGAGAAAATTTAATATAAGAATTTTGAACTGTAACAGGGGACTGAAGCAATGAGGGACTGGCTAGTAAGAAGTAAAGAGAACTATAAAGAATATAAGGGGAGCACAGTCTTTAGGGCTGAGATCTATCTAGAGCCCAAGGAAGAGGCTCTCACCTCTCTGCCCCATGCAGGGCTGAGATCCACACCATGCTGGAGAGGACGTGGCCACAGTGAAAAGGGTGAATTTAGAACTAAGAGGCAATAAACAACAACCAGTACAGGTCCAAGGCCTTTCATTCACTTTGTGCAAACATATTCATTTTTCTTTTTTCCCCCTTTAACAAGTATTTACATAGCTGAAACATATTTGTTTCTCCACAAAGACTTTCCTGGCCCCTCTTCCCCATCTGTCCAGGTAGAACTCATTCCTCTTCCTTTGTGATTGTACAGTCCTCCCCCTCCTTGACACACATACCTATAGCCAGGCATACTTCTGGGGGACTTGCAGTGGTTGGTTGCATTTTTGTTTACTTGTTTACCTCTACCTAGGGTTATCAGAAAAATTTAGGACAGCCAGTTAAATTTAAATATCAGATAAACAACAATGCTGTTTTTTGTATAAGTGTGTTCCGATTATTGTATGTGACATACTTTAAAAAGAAGTAATTTTTGTTTATGTGAAATTCACATTTAACTGAATGTCCTGTATTTTTATTTGCTAAATCTGGCAACCCTCCCCCTACTTCCACCTCCACCTATAGTTTTCTTTTTTTTTTTGAGACAGAGTCTCACTTTGTTGCCCAGGCTAGAGTGAGTGCTGTGGCGTCAGCCTAGCTCACAGCAACCTCAAACTCCTGGGCTCAAGCAATCCTACTGCCTCAGCCTCCCAAGTAGCGGGGACTACAGGCATGCGCCACCATGCCCGGCTAATTTTTATATATATATAGATATATATTTGTTTTTAGTTGTCCAGCTAATTTCTTTCTATTTTTTTAGTAGAGATGGGGTCTTGCTCTTGCTCAGGCTGGTCTTGAACTCCTGAGCTCAAACCATCTGCCCGCCTCGGCCTCCCAGAGTGCTAGGATTACAGGCATGAGCCACCGCACCCTGCCCACCTATAGTTTTCTTGATGGCAAAACGTGTCTCTCACGGATCTCCAGAATCTCTGCAGCTGGCCCAGTGCATGACAGCCGGTGCTCACGTAATGTTAAGAGAATGGTGCCTTCTCTGGCTGCAGGTTGAAAGTGACTGGAGGGAGACTAGACTGAAGACAAAGAGACCAGTTAAGAAGATGAGCACTAAACCATCCAAAAAATTATGAAGGCTTCAACGGAATGGCATTGGGGAGAGAGAAAAGAGGATGGATCTGTAAGATCTGAGGATTTGGTGACCAGTAAGGGCCATGCCAGAGCCCACAGAGTCTAGGATGTCACCCAAGTTTCTGGCTTGTGTCACTGGGTGGAGACTGGTGCATTCACTGAGGAGGGAACACTTGAGGCGGTTTGGAAGCTGGAGAGCAGGGAAGCTTGTTGATGTAAGGTGCAGGGCAGGGTGGAGAAGAGTGGACAACTGATCTGAAGGAGGGAACTGAAGATACCAGGACAGGTATGTTAAGCTGGACGTCTGCACGGATATGTAGGTAGAAGTATTAGAATTACAGACTTGGGCTCAGGAGATAAAATATGAGCATACTCAGTGTGGATGTGGTCACTAGAACCATGGGAGTATATAATGTTGCTCAGGGAGAGAGTAGAATGAGAAGAGGAGAGAGCCAATACTGGAGCCCTGAGGAACAGGTGAGAGGCAGCAAGAGGAAGAGGAATCCAAAAGTAGTCTGAGAACAGCAGCTGGAGGAGTAGGAGGGAAACCAGCGGAGTGTGGGATCAAGAGAGTCAAGGGAAGACAGATGTTCAGGAAAAACACAAACTGTTTTTCCTCTGCTCTCACACCGATACAACAATCAGCACAAAAGACTTCTGTGACCAAATGTCACAGAACGGAGGAGTTTCCCCAAACATCAAGCAGCAAACATCAGCTGGGTGTCCTCTAATTCAATTCAATTCTGATGCTATCTCCAGGTAGATAGCGTCAGATCTCACAGGGTAAGGGCTCAGTCCCCAAAACTGTCCCTCTTTTCAGATACCAGTTGCAAGCCCGGGCCTCTAGAACTTCTGAGCAACCGGCTTCAAGTTGGGGTTCCCACAACCCCCACTTTGGGTTCGATTAATTTGCTGCAGCAGCTCACAGAACTCAGGGAAACACGTTTACCAGTTTATTAGAAAGGATTACAAAGGATACAGATGAAGAGGTGTGTGGGGCGAAGTCTGGGGAAGGGGGCGTGGAGCTTCCATGCCCTCCCTGGGTGCACCACCCTCTAGTAACTTCTGTGTGTTCAGCTGTCAAGAAGCTCTCCTAATCCTGTCCTTTTGGGCCTTTTATGGAGACTTCATTACGTAGGCATTATTGATTAAACCATTGGCCATTGATGATCAACTTAACCTTCAGCCCCAGAAAGTCCCAGCCCCACTAATCCTGCCTTCATCTTTCTGGTGACTAGCCCCTATTCTGAAGCTAACAGTCAATTCTTAGCATGCAAAAAGACATCACTTTGGAGATCCCAAGGATTTTAGGAGTTGTATACTATAGGTAATGGGGATGAAGCCCAAATATATATTTCACAGTATCACAACTGGTTTTTAAGGAGGATTGATGAAATTGAATGTTTATGAGAGTTCAAAGGACTAAAGGGAGAGAAATGGCCTTTGGATTTAGTAATGGTAAGGCCACTGGTGACCTCAGCAAGAGCTCTTTTGGCAAAGGAGAGTTGGTAGCAGATACACATATAAATGTATATAAATTAATATATATACACACACACACTAATCACAGTATTAATTTTTTTATGATGGTATATATTTGAGCAAGTATAAATATAGAGGGGAAAAAAGATATTGGGTAGAAAAAGGTTGAATAATGGCAAGGTAGGAAGGGTTATAAATAATTGAGACAGAGAGCCCTGAGATGGGATCCTGAGTGTAGACGGAGGAATTAATCTAGCTACAAGAGGATATTAATAATAAGCTTCAGAAAGTCTGTGGGCCCTCCTAAAATTGTTTACCAGATTTGCATATCAGTGGCTTTTTAAGCACTTTTTGTGGGGAGAGGATTCATGGCTTTCATCAGATTCTCGAAGGACTCCACGACTCCAAAATGGGTCGAGAAGCACACCTGTGAACAAGAAAGGCACGATCACATGGCACAGGCTCTCCTGAGTCTTTTCTCTGATCTCTTGGCTTTCTGCTCAGCCCTTCCTTTTCAAGGTGAGACCTCAGCCAGTCCACACACAGGGACACAGGGATCTCTAGTCAGGGAAACGGTGACAATCCCTGGACAAAAAAGGAGAAAAGTTATTGGCAAGTGCATCTGCTGGACCAGGAGGCTGTGGGCAGGAGAAGTACGTGGAACCTGGTACCATGATTCCTGGCCGAAATGAAACTAGGGGAAATTTCAGGTGCTTCCTGGAGCTGGAAAAACTGTTATTTCAAAGCTGTCTTGCAAGAGGTTGTGACTTGACACCCCTTTGGAGGAGACCACGCCTTAGTTCTGGGAAGACTGCTCAATGGGAAATGTAGTTTTGCAAAATGAAGCAAAGACCAGAGTCAGAAATGGAGATACCAGAGCCACTCAAGGCTCCAGGAGTGACAGTGTGCTGCCTAGTGTGGCTTCATGACAGGTTACAGGTTCTATCTGGTAAAGAGGTGCAGCTCTGCAGCCTATTTCCTTTGGGGAAAACAGCTTTATTTATTATTTATTTTTCCAAAGAGAGATTTGGATTGTTCTGAGTTGCAAACTGAGACCAGTTCTTGTGGGAATGTGTTCTAGTTGGAGCAGTTGCTGTTTCATCTGGGACTTTGTGAGATGCTGGGCACAAACTCTTCAGGACACAGAATGCAGCCTCCAGTTGGGGGTGGACCCTACTCCCCCAAGAACCGGCAATTCAGGGAGTGTCTAGAGCCAGCACCTTTGGCTTAGGCCCTCTCACTGTGAGCAGTGTCCGAGTGGCTTCAGTTGGGATCCTTTAAGTAACTCTGAGAGCAGTGATGTCTATTAAGTGGCAGAGCCTAGAGGGTTTGGGGACCAGGCTAGGCTTCGAAGTCTAACCAGCAAGGGGCTGCCTGGCCCCAATGACCTCAGAATTGATAAAATATCCCTCTCCACCTGCAACCAGCCCTCTGTAAACTGTATGACTGGCACTATTTACTTTGGGGGAAGGAGGGTGGAAACTGAGGATCCTGAAGCAGCTTGGAGGCAGAGAGAGGGGCTGAGGAGTGTTTGAAGGCAGCAAAAGCACCACAGTTTTAAGAGCACCTAGAACTGGGGCAGTGCACACAGAAGAGAGGAGCATAGACGTGTTTCTCTTCCTTGACCAAGAATGGGCACAGCCCTCAGCTCTTGCCAGCTCCGCACTCCAGCCTGGCTGAAGGGGGCACCCGTGCCGAAGCAGGCAGGCACATGAGCAGATTGGAAGGCATTTCTGTCAACAGCGTGAAATGCCTGAGGGGTCCCACCCTCAACCCGGTCTCACACTCACAGTGCTCTCACCCACCGCTGGCTGCAGCTACAGCTTCCGCGCTGGTGGCTCTCAAGTCCACCCAGCCCCGACCTCCCTCCGCAGCCCAACATCAGCACATCCCACAGCACCCTGACAACCCCTTAGGGTGTCCCACAGTTCCACAGACTTGGCATCCTTTCCAAATATATGTCCTTATCTTATTTCCAAAGAAGGAAAATCATACTGTTCGCCCCAATACAAATGCAGAGACCTAGGAAATAAGGTTTTAAAGGACATGCAGAAAAGCTCAGGGGATTGCATTGACCTTCTAGAGATGACTTGGGGACAGTGTGGGAGTCCAGGTTCAGCATCAACCTCTCCTTCCTTCCAGATGAAGGTGTGTACCTCTTAGCTTCCTGTCCTTTTTCATACCATTTGCCAAATTGAATTTAAATAATTATTAATGTAATTGCTTATTTATTGCCTGTCTCTCCTGGTTTAAGCTTCTCAAGGGCAGGGATCGTGTCCCTTTCACTTCTGTATCTTTGGTGTCTGCCCAATACCTGACATAAAATAGGAGCTTAATAAAATATTTGTTGAATGAATAAATGAATATCCTTGTTCATCACCCAAGATGCAGGTCCCTCTGGGGCCCTCAGTCCTTTCCTGCCTTCTTATCCTAGTGGAGCTCTGTGCTTCATTCCCCTGAACCAGCATCCCACCACACCCTCTTCCCACCCTCAGTCTTTCTTTGGATGCTCCCATGCCCTGGGTTGCTTCATGGACCCATAGGTAATCTCAGGCCCCAAGTGCTGGGACTGTGCAGGGGGTCGTGAGCAGGCTTGCTGGGACTAGTGAATGCACCTTTGCCACCCACCTGCCTGTGTTCCATGCCACCCATCCCAGAGCTGCTGGGCAGGGCGAGAGATCCAGGCCAGGTGGGTGATTGCTGAGGCAGCGTCAAGTGTGTGAGCGGGATGATCAGGGCATGATCTCCATCCAGCCTCTTCTACCCATCCCCCCACTGCCCAGGAAAAGATCTGACAAAGCACAGAAATAAATAAATAACTTAGAAATAATAAATAAGGGTCCAGCTCTCACGAGTGAGTACAAGGCCAGCTCCAGCACAGGCGCTTTCAGCCATGGAACTGCAATGTGTCTCCTCCAAATTCTGCCCCTCCACCCCCCAGGGCCTGGGCAGGGGCTGGGGCCTGGGCTGGGCTGAGGCCTCAGTCACTGCTGGGTTCCCCAGAGGGGTCCTTGGTCCGAGGCCTGGCGAGTGCCAGAGTCTGTGAGAAGTGGGTTCTAGGGTCTCCACAGCTGAGGTCTCTGGTGTCTGCAGGGCTGGGATCTGCAGGGTGAGGGTGCTGAGGCTGCTGGTCGGTCACCCTCCATCTCTCCAGGGCTGATGTCCCTCACTCACGCTGCTGAGGACTGAGGCCCCTGGCTAGTGTGGCCCTGCGGGAGGGTCCCAGGCAGGAAGATTCACGGGTAAGGGTCCCATATGCACACCCCTGGAGAGAGCCCTCAGCCCAGGCAGCCGCAGGCGGTGGCTGAGAGGCGGTCCACGGTCCTCCAGGTGCTGTTGACGTCCATGAAGGAGACTGCCTCATAGCGTGTGGGTCGGCAGCAGGGCTGGCTGACGGGCCGGGAGCCCGGGGGCGGCCGCAGGGCCCCGGCGCCCAGCAGGCTGGCCAGGCTGAGGTCGTGCGGGGAACGCGCACGGCGGCAGGAGCCGCTGCAGAAGCGGAAACGCACCAGCTCATCAGAGCTGTGGCCCAGGCCGAGCGCGCGCACCGGCACCAGCTGCGAGCGCAGGCGGCAGCCTCGCGCCCCCGCGGCCCGTGCGCTGCTGTCCCGACCCCCGGCACGCGCCGCGCGGCCCCCGCGGGGCGGAGCAGACGGGGGCGCGGGCGGCGCGGGTGCTGGCCCGGGGTGCTGCGGAGGCGGCGGCCGCCGGGCTCTTCCACCGCACAAACTGGCCGTGCGTCCCCCTGGAAGGAGACCGAGTCAAGCGTGGTGTCCCAGGCCAGCCCCACCCGCGTCCCGCCCCTTCGCCCGCTCACCTACCCAGCAGGTGGCCGGCGAGGGGCGCCAGGACTGGCGCTGGGCCTTCGCGGGTGGCGGGGCTGCGGGGCGCAGGGCCCAGGGAGGCCTCTGCGACGCTGCTCAGCAGAGCCAGAGCAGCCAGGGTCGGCCACAGGGCAGGCTGCGCGGAGACACAAAGTGGAACCTCAGGGAGAAAGAGGACACCCTGGTGGGTTGGGGAGGAGGAACTCAGGGAAGGGCTGTCTTCAGGCTGAGATCAAAGAGGGTACCGGCTCTAGCTGGATGGAGGGGAGCTCAGGGAGGGCTTAGGTTCAAGCATAATGAGTTTGCTGCCTCTAGGAGCCCAGGGAAGGAATCACCTGAGGGCACTGACCATCCAAAGAAGTCCTGCTCCTTCTCCCATATGCCTGACGCCTCTTACTTCCCCTCCCACATCTGACCCCTGCCCAAGCCACCTCCTGCGCCACCTCCCCAAACAAGCCATCTTTCCTTAACACCAGGTGGGAGTCACTGGGAGAGCCACTTACCTGCCGCCTAGGCCAGGGACAGTGGGACGGCACAGAAAGGCCTCCAAGTCCAAGTTCCATCTCTGCTGACACCAGGAGCTCCCATCAGCCTTTGTTGACCTGTTCCCCCACCCTCCTCTTGAGACACCTTGTAAATTGAGAGATGAATTATCTTTTGAGGGGTCATCCTTCCACCTCGGTTTCTCCAGGTAAGGAACAGGGGCTTGAACAGCTGGACTCAACCCAGGAGAAGTAGCTGCGTTGAGAACCTTACTGTGTAGTAGGTGCTTTGCAGCTATTCCCTCTTTCAAAACTCCATGAGGCAAATGGCTTGATCTCCCTTTTCCAGATGAACAAAGCTCAGAGAAGCTCAGAGATTGTCTAAGGTCATAAGGCTGGGTGCACATAGCCAGAGGGGAGGGAAGGTCCTCTTTTCCCAGAACCTTCCTGTCTGTGCTGTAGGGCTGGAGCTGCCAGGATTGGCTGGAGAAGGTAGGAACTGGACACACTTGGCCCTACAGAGAGCCTTCACCCCATGCTGTGGGGGAGGAAGCTGAGGCCTGGAGAAGAATTAGGAGCCTTGATGGTCACTCTGAGTTATTTAATGACAGTGAGGCCCAGGCTTCAGCCTCTGCTGCCCACCCAGAGCCGCTGTACCTTGTTCCTGTGTGATCTCAGTTCTGGACTCAGAGCTGCCTGAGTTCTCTCTTAGCACCACAGACGTCCCTCCAGAGCCAGCAGAGGGTGAGGGCTGTTGGGCCCTCTGAAAACATGGGGACTGGCCATGGCTTGCTATGGCCACCAGAGGGCAGACTCTGCCAAGCCTGCAGACTCAAAGGACGAGTGGGCTTTTCCATACTCTCAGCGGGAGTCCCCCTGAGGCACTCCCCGGAGGGCCAGCCAGCCTTCCACACCTGCCTGATCTCTGAGAGCTGAGCTACCTTGGGAGCTTGTCTAGGTCTGCCCCGCTACCAGGCTTCTGCGGATCTAGTAGCCTAGCTTTGTTCCTAGAAGTTTGTCCTGTGAGCCATCCTTCCTGATCCCAGCCAGCCTTCCTGAGCTCCCATGGGCTGGCACACCCAAACACTCCTTTTGGGCCCCAGAGCCTTCAGGAACCCTCGTCATCTGTCCTTCCCTTGGGTCCTAGCTGTCACCCTCACCCCCATCCCCTAGCACACAGAATGCCTGCACACCCGTGGGACAGACCTCCCCAGACCTACCTGGGGTGGTCCTTCAAGGCCAGGTGTGCACCTGTCGGCTGAGTGGATTCAGGGCCCTTCAGGCCAGGCCAGTGACTATTCTCACTGATGGAGGCAAAGCCAGGCAAGGCAACCTTAAGCGCCCTCTGCACTAGGGGGAGCCCAGGAGCAGGTCCCTTGATGGCAGCTCAGGCCCTAACTCTCCCTCCCTGCAGTCTGGTGCCACTTGGTCCTCCAGCCCTCCTCTCCCCATCCACCAGCCCGCTACTCACCACGGGGGTCCTGCACCGTATTCTTCTAGGCACCTTTGCTGGGACCAGTGGTGGGCTTTCCCCTGCAGCTCAAATGGCCCATGCCCAGGGCTGTGCACCTGGCAGCACCTCTTGTAGCCAAAAATGTGGCCTTGGCAGCCAGTCAGCGCCCTGTAGTGGCAGCGGGAGCCTCACATTACAGCAGGCGGGCTGGGCCAGCACAGTCCAACAAGCGACAAGAGGGACTGAAGGGGCTGGGAGGGGCAGAGAGCTGCGCTGCGGGCCAGGAGAGGGAGGATGCGAGAAAGGAGTGGAGGGGGATGGTCCTGCCCGCTCCCTCTAGCCCCAGGAGCGTCCATCCAGGGCTGGGACCAGGGATGGGCAGGCGGGCTGGTTTACCTCGGGTGTGGGGCTCCGGTTCGGGTCACAGCGAGGGCTGGGGCCCGAGGGACCTGCTGCTGGCGGAGCCCGTGGGCCGTGTCTGGGGGCCGGGCCCAACTCCATCCCTCAGCAGCCTCCTGCCCGCCACCGTCCGGTGTCAAATTCCAGCCCCGGCGTCACCGGATCCTGGGGTGGGGCCTGGAGCGCCCCTGCCCCGCCCCACCTTTCAGGGCTCACCTGGCCGCTCCACTCGCGGGATCCGCTGCCCCCTGGCTCGGCTAGGTACCCCTGAGGCCGGGGTAGACGCTGGGAGGGGACCCCTGGATGCAGAGAGTGGAGAATTCGGGCCGCGGAGAGGCACGGAAACTAGTTCGGAGTTTGTAGACATGCGAAGTAGGGAGCGGGGAGACCCGGCGAGGGCGGGAGAGCGAGAACGAGGGCGGGGAGCGTGGGGGGACAGGCTAGTCCCTGCCTTGGGCCGCCGCCCACTGGTGCGTGCAGACCCGGCGGGGGGCGGGGTGCCCGGCTGGCTGCCCTGCAGTGACTGGTCTCTGCTCCGCCGCTAGTTTATTCTCTCCACCGAGGAGAGTTCGTCTAGGTTCGTCTAACTCGGTGGGTCAGCAGGCAACCCCACCCCCGGGGCGAGCGTTCAAGCTCTGATTCTGCTTTAGTCGCCACTCCTGGGGCTTGGAGTGGGGACACAATTGCAAACACGGCTGTCACTGTGGCGCGGTGAGGGCAGTGTTGGTAGAAGGGGGTGCGAGGGCTGAAGAAGGGGAAGGTCACAGAGGAGGAACATTTGAGCCGAGGCTTCAAGTAGGAGCTGCAGGGTAGCATTTCAGACGCCTAACTATGGCAATTTGGCAGGTGAGGTGGGAGTTTGGTGAGTAATATGGATGGAAAGGTCCTTCTAAGGGGTCTGGCCCTTATCCCTATGACACTGGGGACACCTGAAGGGTTTTGAGCAGAAAGGTGTGACCAGATGTGTCGATAGTGGATGACTGGCTGGAGACAGGCAAGATGAGAGGGGGAGGTACAGTCAGGAAGCTGCTGGGGAGAGGGTGAGGTCTGATGCGGGGTTTGTGGGGAGCAGTGAAGTCGCTGGCCCAATCTGGAACACACCCTTTTGAAATTCAGTTGGTGCCTGATTGGACAGGGTGAGGAGGTAGGCCTGGCAAAGGTGTGCCTTTGGCTTAGGTGCCTAGGTGGAGGGAGTACCTTCTGGGACCTGGGGCTCCCCAGAGGAGGCACAGGGGCTCCTGAGATCAGTGTTGGACATTTTGAGTTGGAAGGGCCTGCGGCGGAAAGGTTCCTGGTGGAAATGTTCTGAAGCAGCTGGATCTGTAGCCCGGAGCCGGGTGGAGAGAGCAGGGCTGGCAGTTAGGGACTGTGGACCAGATGACAACTGGAAGCTGCAGGTGGGGAGGAGAGTACTCGGGGAATGTGTGTGGTCCCTGGCTGTACCCTGGCTATGCATCAGAACCACTGGGGACCTTTAAAAACTACCCACATCCAGGCCTCCACCCCAGACCTGAATCAGAATTTCGGGGTAGGCATGTGCAGTTGTCAAATTTGCACAGGTGGTGTACAGCCAGGGCTCAGAACCACAGCTTCTGCAGGAGTAGTTTCCTACAGAGCTGGGACTAGAAGTCAGGCTGCAGACACCTGCTGCTGATAAGGGGCTGTCTGCAGGCTCCACAGGGCCCCTGTGGGACAGGAGGCCAAGCGGTGAGCAGCTTGCTCTGTCGCCTCTCACAACTGGCTGCTCAATAGGGGTACCTTCCCTGGGGCTTTTTTAGCCAGGGCCACCACTTACAGGCATGCGGCCTATGCCTGTACAACTCCAGGGGTGCTCTGCAGGCAGGAGTACATACGTACATTGGAGTTGTGCATCATAGAGGCCCTGCTTCCAGCAGAGTAGAGAAGGCATTTCTGGGTTTGCCAATCTCTCAGCCAGGGCCTTGCTTTCTCAGCCAAGGAGGCTTCTGCCTGAGGACAGACTGCAGGAAGCAGAGGGTGGGGGGGATGTGGGACATTGGTGGTCCTTGGGATGGCCAGGATTCTCTGTCCTTAGGGCTCACCAGTGAGAGGGCCTAGGGCTGCCTGGACTCTTGGACTGGGCTGGGCAGGAAAGAGGTGCAGGGCCAGAAGCCCCATGTATTGCCACAGTGGCAATGTGTGGCAGGAGGCACACTCCAAGGCCTCAAGTGGAGGTGTCAGTTTGTCCACTCTCAGGCCTGCCTGGAAATGCTGGGGAAGGGAGGGATCACATTCTAGAGCTCTAAGGGGGTGAGTTGGTGGGGGGACGTCCCTTCTAAAGTGCGACAGAGGATGCCTAGAACTGGGCTGTGTGCCTCCCTGTCTGTGTGGGAAGAGGCAGGCTGAGGGGAGAGGGTGTGCCTGTGTGCTAAGGGTGCGGGTGGGCTGCGTCCTTCCCAGAGCATAACCGGGGTGTCAGGAGTAGGGAAGGTCTGTGGGCCTCTGCATGCCAGGGGTTCCGCGGAATATCTTTGCTGTGCTCGCAGGAATCTCTGTCACTGCAGAGCTAGAGCTGTGGCGACCCAGAGACACTGTCTTGGGGCTGTGGGCTCCAATCCCCTGCCTCCTGGCTCCTCTAGGAGACACAAGAACTGACTCTGGGGCAGGCCCTGAAACCACTGATCTGTCTCCTCAAGGCAAAGAGGATACAGGACCATGTGGACAAGAGACGCTCCAGAGCCTTAGGTGGCCACCCAGGGCCCACAGTTGACAGGAGACGTGAAAGGGACTTAGGAATCTGTGGGCTGGGGAGAAGGCCCTTGGGTTTCGCACAGTTGCTGAGGCCCAGGTTGCTGTTTCTTCCAGGAAAGTCACAGAAAGCAAAAGGAAGCCGGACTCAGGGAAGAGCTTTATTGCTTCCATGAGGGCTGCCTGGGATGGCGGCCACAGCCTGGGCAAGGTCCTCGGGCCTCACTTCCCTCTGGTCCAGGCTAAAGGCAGAACCCAAAGACCTGGCAGTCTCATTGCTGAAACCCAGAACATCCAGCAAGTTGGTCAGTCCACGCCTGGGCACTAGTGTATGGATCAGTTGCAGCTGGGGGGGAAGGGGGGCCATTCCCATCAGGCTGAGCCGGGCCACACCTCTTGAGCCTTAAAGTTCTCTCTGCTCTGGCCTGGGGGCTGTCTTCTTGGCTGGGAAGGGATGGCTCCAGAGTTTCCCTGTGGGACAGCTAGGGACTAGTGAGTGGGAAAACCCCATCTTCTCCCCAAGAAAGGCCAAACAGTGTCATGAGCTGGGGGTGCTGGCATGAGATCCTGCCCACCCCACTGTAGCCCTGGAGCAGGGTACAGGCAGGTCATGGCCCTCTCGCCCTGCAGGGAGCTTACTGGTACCACTGCCTGATGGGCCCTCTAGTGGGCCCCTTTCTGCACAGCAAGTGGACCAAATTTGACATCTCCAACCTTATGTAAAAATAAATTATCCCTACCCTCCCCCCTACCCAAATTCACAAAATGATAATACACCAAACACTGATTGGAGAAATGATTCCGGCAGCAGCCTTGCTGCCTAATGTCCCACCTCCTGCATGCTGGGCCTGTTGGGCACAGCCTTGGCCTGCTGGGCACAGCCTTGGCCTGCTGGCCCTCTGGCTTGGCGGACCCAGGCCGAGTGAGGCTGACCGCTGGTCTCTGAGGCTGGCCTCTGGGCAGGCACAGCTCTGGCTGCTCCGCAAGGCCTTGCTGCCCCTGGGGCCCCTTGGCACTGTCCTTCTCTGGGTCTGAAGACTCCTGCATAGGTGGTGGTGGTTGTTGCTTGCTCCTGGTGGCGCCTGGGCCGCTATGGCCATGTGCTGGGCCCACTCAGATGCCACTGCTTAGGTCAGTGATGACACGTGCTTTCACCAGCTTCCGCAGAAACTCTTTCTCTCGCTGGATATTGTGTGTCCAGGACTGGAAGGAAAGAGATGGAGAAGTATCGGGTGGGCAGCCCAGATGGCTGCTGGGACACAGCCCTGCCTTTAATGCCCCTTCCCAGGCCCGAAGCACTCTTCCAGTCACCACCCTCCGATGCTCTGTGACTGTGCAAATCCGAGGGCAGATACTTATAACCGGTTGTGCCTACAAGATAATGATGACTCTGCTCTAGGCGCGCAACACTCATCCTTCCCCCGTCCCAGGGCTTGGAAAAAACAGCCTTTGTGCCCCTTTCTGTGCCCCAGAGGAACTGCGCCTCTTGCCTTCTTCCCAGTCCTGGGAGGTATAATCTTCCCAGCCACCCTCCTTAGTGCTGGTGGAAGGACCTTGTTCCCACAGACTTCAGCCCGCTTCTTGTCAGGCAGCCGCTAGGTTCTGGACACCCTGAGGGCAGGCAGTGTGAGTCACCTAAGTCCCACAGCAGGGGTGGCTGAGTCATTCTCTGGCCTGACGCAATCCACTCAGGCCCCGGGGGCAGCTGATGAAATCCTGCCTCCCAGAGGAGCCAGGCGACCTGAGGAGAAGAGGCTAATCTTTTTAAAACAAATTTTTTAAAATTTTTAATTGACAAATAATAATTATTTAATTTATGGGGTACAATGGGATGTTTTGACATATGTACACATTATAGAATAACTAAATCAAGCTAACGTATCAACTACCTCACATCTCAATTTTTTGTGGTATGAACATCTATCATTAAAAATAATGTCTTATATATTTCAAAATTGCTAGAAGAGGATAATCTTATTGTTAATGTGGAAATTACAAGGAAGATGCTGCTTTCTAGGGCTTTCCTGGGGGAAGACTGCACTCAGAATAGGTTCTTTCCTAGCCCCAGTACTCTTACCAGGAAGCTTTGATGGAAAAGGCTTGATTGAATAAATGAAGGAATGAATGCCAATATCCCCATCATAGTAATAATTTGTACCCGACTGGCCTCTGCTGCATTTGTCAGCACTGGACCTCACCGTAACTACATTAACAGCTACTACTCACTGGGGCTAGGGACTTGGGGCTCTGTCCAGCCCTTATTCTGATCCAGTCAACCCTTTCCAACTTCCACACCTTTTCCACTTGAAACTCAGGCGTCAGCAGAATTCCCTATACTCCTCTTCTCTGAACACTGCCTTCAACTTCTTGTGCTAACCACAAACCCAGATGCCCTAAGGACAGCACCCCCAAAGCCCTCTCTAGTGGTGGCTGTTTCTTCCCCCACACTCCATAGCACCTGAAGGTGGGCAGGGTCTTCCTTACACCCAGCTGTCCCTCCAGACTCCCTAGAAACCCCCACCCCCTAGGCTCCTGTCATTATGCTCTGCCATCTGCAAATTGCCCTCCTTCTTTCAGACCCCTGGGTGACTCACCCCCATTCTTTGAAGATTCATGCATCTGGCTCACGGGCTCTCTTTGAGGGCAGGGACTGTTAGGCACAGAGTAGGTGCTCAATAAATATTTGTTCAATGAAATTAGATTTTATAGATAAAAAAACAGAGGCTTGGAGGAACGCAGGGCCAGGAGTCAAGCCAGTGTAGACACTCAAAGCCTCATTCCATATCCTGCACCCTCACCACTCCCTGGGGCAGAAGAAGTAACCAGTCTGATAGGTCAGGGTCAAGAGCACCCCGCAGGAGCCACTGAGGGTTAAAGGTCAGCAAGGGACTGGATATTTGATATTAAGAAATTATTGTTAACTTATTGAGGTGCGATAAAAAATAGTCTTATCTTTTAGAGAAATGTAATGAAGTATTTATGACAGAAATGATGTATCTAAAACCTGTTTCCAAATCGTCAGTGGAGTGGGAGCATGAGAGGAAGAACAGATGAAACAACATTGGCCATGTGTTGATAACTGGGGAAGGTGGGGACAGGTATGTGGGAGTTCATTATATCATCCTCTACATGTATGAATATGTTGGACAATTTCCATCACAAAAAAGTAAACAAACAAGTCTGCCCTGGGGTATAGCTCTCTTGGATAGGTGATGCCACCCCTCTGGTGCTCTTTTCCTAATTCCTCCTTCCATGCAGAAACGTGTGCATTTTCTGGAGCTCTGCACTGGCTATGGCTGGCGTGGGATTCTGGTTGTCATGGGCCCCCAGCCTTGTGAGGACCCTTGATTCTGGATGTGGACGCCCACGCACCCCAGCCCACGCTCTCAGAAGGATCTCCCTGTGACAGCTGTTTTTCAGTCTTTATCTTTGGTTCTTCTTCCCTCACCCAACCATTAAATACTGGTGTTCCTAGGGGTCTGTCCTGACAGTCTGCACTTCTTACTCTTTGTCCTCTCCCTGGGAAATCTCATCATGCCCTCCTTATATCTGGACAAGCAGGTGTGTTCACCACTCACAGGTCTCCATTTCTGGCCTGATTTCTCTGCTGTGTGGCAGACTCCTGTACCACCCCACTTCATCCGTAGCTACTGCTCAGTCTCTCTCCTTTCCTGCCACCCAAGTGTCCTGAGAGGGCCCTTACCACGAGCAACAACTGTGGTCCCTGTTGCCCTCCCTACTCACTGTTCACTACTGCAATCTAGCTCCTACTCCACTACTCTAGAAACTGTTCTCAGCACAGGCAGCAGTGGCCTCCCAACTGGCACACCCAATGGCCATTTCTCAGTACTTGTCTTACTGGGCTTCTCTGCAGCACCTGACCCTGGAGACACTCTCTTCTGGAAACGCTGTTCCTTTGGTCTCCATGATGCTGCGCCTTCCTGATTCTTCTCTACTCTGTCTCCTTTACAAATTCCTTTGGCATCGTCACACATCCCCAGCATTCAATCCTTGCTCCACGTGTCTTCACATCCCACACACTCCCCCTGGGCCTCGTGAATGAGCTGATCGAGTGCAGATGTAACCAGGGCACTGAATGGTCCATGTGGCTACTGAAGACACTCCAGGTGACAGAGGGGTCCTAACCCCAGGCACCAGCATTTTCAGTGAATCCCCATCCAGGGAGTTGGTAAGTAACAGTGATAAGTAGGGGTAAACTATTAATAACAGTGGCTAGCATGGATGAGTGCTTCCTACGTGGCAGGCCTTTTTTACACATCACCGCATCTGATCTCTTGAAAGTCCTAGGAGGTAGGTGCTATTATGATCCCTTCTACAGATAAGGAAACTAGTTCTAGAGCAGGCTCTGAATCTAGGTCCTGAAAACAGCTCCTTTCATTGGAGAACACTCTTAAGTGCTCTGCATGGATGGTGGTACAGCAGATGCCATGAGCCTCAGAGCCAGAGAGATTTTACACGGTGAGGGAGGAGGGGCAATGGCCTGAAAACAGACACATGGCAGGTGGAAGAAAACCAACAGCTTCCGCCAGAGAGGGTGTCAGGGAAGGTGGGTCCTTCTACCTCACTGCTGCACTGAGGCAATCCCTGGGCCCTACTGATTTAAAATCGTGTCTCTTGCCTGTCTTCTCCTCATCGCCACGGCCAAAGATCTGGTTTAGGAGTCATCATCTCTTCCCCAGACTGTGGCAACGCCTCCCAAATAGCTTGTGTTCCTGCCTTGCCCCCTCTACTTCATACTGCAGCCACAGTGACCCGACTGCTTGCTAATCTATAGCCTAGAACTCTCCTGTGGCTCCCCACTGCCTTCAAAATAAAGTCCAAACTCTTTCCCATGGCATAGAAAGCTCATTATGATCTGGCTACTGCCTGTGTCTAAGGCTCTCACCCTCTGCTTAAACTTTTACATAAAGTTTATGTAAAAGGAATATGTGAGAGACCAAAGATACAAGTAAACAGAAGCCAGGAGGCAGATAAAAGCTGTGTGAGCAGTCTGGAGTGGGTGCCAGCCAGGGACAAAGCAGCAAGGAGATGTGTAAGGAGAGGCAGCGATGGAAGATGGACAGGGCCATGGTAATGATGAGGTAGGGCTGGCGCCACTGCTGAGGGGGACAGGACAGTCCCAGAACCGTGTTGGACCCAGAATGAGCTTCTCAATCCTGAACCCCTTCCAGGTGACAGGGGGCCCAGCTGGAAGGCTGTTCCTAGTTTTCTGTGAGACCCCCCAAGTCCTTTATATACCCACGAAATAACTTTCAACTACTTGAGGTAGCCTGAATGAACCTGCTATAGGCTGAATGCTTCCATCCCCCCAAATTCACATACTGAGATCTAATCCTCAATGTGATGGTATTTGGAGGTGGGGCCTTCGGGAGGTGATGAGGTCATGGGGACACGGCTCTCATGAATGGGATTAGTGCCCATATAAAAGAGACTCAGGGCCACTCCCTCACCCCTTCCATGATGTAAGGAGAAGGCGGCCATCTAGGACCCAGGAAGTGGTCCTCACCAGAAACTGAACCTTCTTATGCCTTGATCTTGGACTTCCCAGCCTCTAGGACTGTGAGAAATAAATTCCTACTGTTTAAAAGCCACTCAGTCTATGGTGTCCTGTTATAGCAGCCCGAATGGATGAAGACACAACCAAAAAAGCCAATACAATATATAGGTGGTAGCTGATGCCCTGGAGGGAGATGTATCTCCAGAGAAACATGTAGAGTGAGAGGAGAAGACTATCTGGGGTGGAGCCTTGCTGGTTGTTCTTAAGGGGTAGGTCAGAATCGATGACACTGAGAAAGAGACTGAGAGACAATGGCAAGTGAAATAAGAGCAACACTAGAAATTATTGGCTCAGAAGTTTAAGTAGAACAGAGTTTCAAAGAGGAAGGAGTGGTCAACACAAAGTGTTTCTGAGAGATCAGGAAAGATGATATGTGTCCACTGGATTTGGCAGCCTTGAGGTAGGTCACTGGTGACCTTAGTGAGAGTTGGGTCAGGTCGGGGAGAGCCAGCTGTGAGGGGTGAAGGGCCCAGTGGGAGTGAGGAGTGCACGGGGGCAGTCCAGCAGAGCTGAGCAGACAGGTGCGCTTCCATTTTCTCACTGGGGGAGGGGAGGGAGCGTGGGCAGCTGTGGAGATTGAAACAGTGGAGAAGGACAGGTGAAGAGATTGATGAGCAGGAATAAGGGCTAGCTGGGACCAGAGTCCCTGGATTTACAGAAATATGAATCTTTGTGGATGGGAGATTCCCTCCAACAACCCCCAGTCACTCAGATGCAGCAGCAGAGAAGCTGTTCCAAGCACTGGCCTGAGATTTCCAGGTTTCAGGATGGGATCAGTGGAAGGCTAGTGGTTGGAGCTGACGTGTGGGAAGAGGGGTTCAGATTTTCCACACGGGATCAGGGCTGTGAAGGAGAGATGCCAGGGGAGGCTAACGGACAGGGCAGGGGAACTTTAACACACCTGTACACATAGGGCACCTGGGAAGCAGTTCTGGGTGATAAAAAGCTTCAGTGTGTGGTCATGGGGAAGGGTAGGGGGACGGGGTGTCCTGAGACAGCAGCAATGTTTATTTGTGGGTTGTCTGGGGGGCAAGGAGGTCCTCTAGGGGAAGGCAGGAGTTCAGCAAAGAGGATGTCTCTGAGCTGGTGCCAAGACTGGTGTCTGATGGCTGGAGAACTCAGCAAGAAGGGAGGTGCAGGGCAAGGGCAGGGAGGGTCCCTGGGGGAACATTCCTCAGGGAGAAGACTGAGGGAGAAGGCGCTAGGGAGAGGGGCACATAGGATACTCCGTGGTCAGAGACCAGCATGCAAGGATGGACCTTCAGTGACTCCACTTAGCTGAGGGTGGGGCAGGACCTGCTAGGGAGCTCAGAGTGGCCAGACCAGCTGCTGGCTCACCCCTTTACCATTCATTTGAGCATATGCGGTCAGAGCCTGTCCTTTGTGCTAGAAGCACCTCCTCCCTCGGCCCTCACGCCACGTCCAGCCCCGAACCTCTTTGATGGCTGCCATGCGCACAGTCTCATAGTAGTGCAGGGGTGCATTGGGTGTGCTCATGTCGTAGCCAAAGCCCGCAACTGCCACCTCATCACAGCCGTGTAGTGCCATGGTCACTGCAACGCTGCCAAGGGTTGGGATGTTCTGGAAGAGGGGAGGAGAGGAGGCATGTAGGGTTTAGCTGGAGGGTTGAGTCGGCTAAGACCTCGGCCAAGCTTCCCAGAGCTAACCACCAATCCCAGGGTCTGAGCCCTCTTTCCCAGAAAACTGTCTTGCAAGAGCACTGCCACCACCCTACCACCTGCTCTTTCCATGCCAAGGCACCTCTGACCCAGGTCTCCTCCCTCTCCCATGGGCCCGGGTATCTCACCCCCCGGCCCATGAGGCCGTTGTTGAAGGGCAGGCCGATGAGGGTGAAGGCAGCCTCCTGGATGAAATACGGGTTGAGGATGCGAATCTCAGGGGGCTCCTTGGGCACTCGAGTGGCCACAGATTTCCAGAAGCCATCTGATGCGCTCTGTGGACACAGCGAAAGACAGCATGAGCTGGGTACAGCTAGGATGGGACAGCGGGAGTGGCAGGGACCCCAAATGTGGACAGGTAAATGAGAAGTGAGGTGGGGGGGCATGAGGTGTGTCGTGGGGAACCTGGGGCCTGTGGTGTAGGAAGCCCTTTTGCGTGGGGGGACATGGGTGTGTGACAGGGACAAGGGCAACTGATGGAGAAGAGTGAGGATGTGGTGGGGCAGGGCACAGGGTGTGCCTGAGGGGGCTCTTGGGCCAATGGGAAGACCCAAGGGTCTGCTGGCCCACCTCCCTGTCACAGCAATGAGGGGCCTGGGCGAGCCTGCCCTCTCTCCTGCCTGCTCTGCTGTGCTCCCCTCCCCGCTGCTGTCTCTCCTGGCTCTCAGTCAGCTGTTGTAAATAGACCTGGAGAATGGAGACAGGATGTGAGCCGGCATAGCACAGCACAGCAACACTCAAATCCTGGCTCTGCCACTGACTAGATTTGTGTAACTTTGGGTAACAAGCTCTCCAGGCCTGTTTCTTTAACTGTAAAACAGGATCATTCTTTTCTCAGAGATCTCGGGGCTGTACTGGAAAGGTATCACCTCTGAAACTTGACATCCTGGTGTCCATTCCTGGGCCACAACTTCCTCTCCTTCCAACTCTCCCCCTTCCCCCTGCCCAACCACATGGAGGCCTCCAGCCCTCAGCCCTGACTTTCTGTTCAGCACATGAGCCCTTCCTCATCTAGACCCGGAAGCATATCATGTCAACTACACTCTTGTGAGCTGCCCCAATACTCTGCCCTTGTCCTTCTATTACCCCAGCCTAGGGAAACCCCACGCTGAAGGTCGATCCATTCACCCCCTTCTCTACCCTTACAAGTGGGCTCCTGAACACTGCTGGAGGAAGTTACAAACCAACCCCGTAGACTGGAGGCGTTACCTAACCATGGACTCCAACCTGGTATTTTCAGTGAGTTTGCTATTTTATTTTAGATAACCTAAAAGAATCAGCCACTATTAAAAAGTCAAAAAACAATAGATGTTGGTGTGGATACACAGAAAAAGGAATGCTTATACAATGTTGGTGGGACTGCAAGTCAGTACAACCTCTATGGAAACCAGTATGGAAATTCCTCAAAGAAATATTAATAAAAGTAGACCTACTATTCGATCCAGTAACCCCACTACTGAGTATCTACCCAAAGGAAAAGAAGTCATTTTATAAAAAAGACAACTGTACTTAAATGTTTATTGCAGCACAATTCACAATTGCAAAGATATGGAATCAACCTAAGTGCCCATCAATTCACACCATGGAGTACTACTCAGCCATAAACAGGAATGAAATAATACCTTTTGCAGCCATCTGGATGGAAGTGGAGACCATTATCCTAAGTGAAGTATCTCAGGAATGGAAAAACAAACACATGTCCTCACTAATAAGTGGGAGCTAAATGATGGGCGCACACAGGCACAGAGATGTAAAGAACATTGGAAACCAAGATCGGGGAGGGTGGGAGGAGGATGAGAGATAAAAACTTACCTATCAGATACAATGACTCCTCCCAGATTAATGTACAGGCTTAATATAATTCTAAGAAAAAATCCAGTAGGATTTTTTCAAAAGGATTCTAAATATCCATTCAAAAGATTTAAGAGGTAAAAACAACACCTCCAAATTAAAAATTAAGTATTAGAGTATATTATGGGTTTGCACCTGTTACAATAGTGATTCACATATAAGAATCAACACAAAGAGCAGTGAAACAGGATAGCCCAGAAGTAGATCAACACAAGTATAGATTACGATACAGGAAACTTCACCATCAATAGGAACAAGTGATATTTGAAAATTTGCCATTTGGGAAAAAGATCCATTTACTTTCTCTCCTCACACCATACACAAAATAAGTAAAGGCAAAAAAGTAAAAGTGAAAGAAAATTTAGATGTATATGTTATCACTGAACTTTCTAAACATTAATACAATGGAAGAAGTTAAAAGATAAACAGATTTTGACTTTGTAAACATTGTAAAGTGCTTTGGGACATCAAAAACATAATAAACAAAATTAGGAGGGAAACAAAAGAGTGGGGAAAATTTTATCACAAATAATAAGAAATGCATATTTTAAAACTCATGAAAAATCAATGAGACCCCATAAAAATGGGTAAAGGACATTTAAAAAAAAGGTTAAGAGTAAAAAAAATTCAATTCACTAGTGAAAAAGAAATGCACATTAAAATAGCATGATATTTTTTTTTACCCACTGAAATATGTCTATATGTGGTATGTGGATATATATTTTAGTGCTTGTGGGAATATGCTGAGGTTGAAGTCTCCTGCACTGCTATAGGAGTGAAATTCAGTACAGCCTTTCTAAAAAGCAATCTGACAATATGGAGCAAAGGCTTCAAAGCTGTTTATATCTTATGACCCCCAAATTTCCCTTCTAAAAGTAATCAGAATGGTGAGGACCTTTGTAAAAATCTGTTTACTACAGTGTTATTGATAAAAGTGAAAAACCAGAAAAACAAATCTAGAAGTTTGCAACAGAGGTTTGGTTAAATGATACATGATACATCTATGTAACAGAACGTCATAGCCATCAAAATTATGTTTTCTAAGAATTTTGTCTCATGATGCACCATGATTTCTGTAACCAATCCTCTGTTATTGGATGTCTGAATTGTTTCTAGTTTCCTCAGATCTGTTCTTCCTCCTGTGCTCCCTGTCCACTGCTGACCATTCAGTCTTCCGAACCAGAAACCTGGGCATCGATTTTGGATTTTCCTCCAACTTTCCAACCCATCCTGTCTTACCCGTTATCCAGTTCTTTTGAGTTTGTCTTCCTGGAATCCCATAGGTCCATCCCTTGCTCCCAAACCCAGTGCCACCCCTCAAGTCCAGGTCTCATCATCTCTCGTCTGGACCTTCCCAATGACTGCCATTGACAGCGTCTGTCTTGCCTGCTGAGCACCTGCAGCCCAGTCGAGTGACTGGAACATAAACGGCACACAATAAATAACTGCTGAATTCCATTCATTTATTCAACAAGCAAGTGATGAGTGTCTAGAATGGGCCGCCTCCACCTCCCAGACCACTTTTCACTCTGCTAGAATGCTCTTTCCATATACAAATCGGATTACATCACCACTGCCCACAGAAGATCCGAGCTTCTTAGCCAGTTTCAATCTCAGCTCACCTGAGGCTCCCCCTCGCTAATTCAGGCCTCCACGCATTTGCTGGTGCTGCTCTCTGTCTCTAACATCCTGCCCACCTCCATCCACACGATCTGCCCGGCTTATTTTCTAAGACTCAGCCCCTGCCTCTCTCATCTATCCCGACCCCCTCCATCCCACGGCAGAATGACCTCTAACCTTTGAGAGGTGGTAAAATACGCAGTTAAGATCCTTGGTCCTGGAATTCAACTTCAGCTGTGGTCACTCACTGTGTGCAGACCCTGGGCAAGGAACGTACTGTTTCCTTATGGATAAACCAGGGAGACTATTAGTATTTATCTTACTGGCTGCTGTGAGAACTAAATGAGATAGTTCAGGTTGGGCCCACAGGGCAGGGGCTCACATTTGATTCACTTCTGTGGCCCAGGGCCCAGCCCTGCAGGCAGCAAGCGGGCAGCAGAGTGGCTACTGAAGGAGACGTGACACCCACCCCAGGCTCCCCACTGGTCAGTAGCTCTTCAGCCTCTTCAGCTGCCCCTTCAGTGGACTGTCTCTGCTCCAGCCACGCCCTCCTCGTGTCTCCCACCTCTGTGGCAACATCTCTTCCTCTGGCAAATTCTGCCTGTCCTCCAAGGGTCAGCCCAAAACACAGGTCTTGGGGTAAACTTCTCAGCCTTGGCCCCCGTTGGCCTGAGCGGGCAGACCCCAGTTACTCTTGCTCCTCTGCCTCCAGGAGAGCTGTGCATGGATAGGGAGGTAAAGGTACGGACAGTGGGACACAGTAGGAAAGGGAAGGGCAGACAAATGGCCAAGACCTCGGGCAGAACTGGGGAGAAGCCTCCCCTGGGTGGGCCAGATGTGGACTGATAGGAATGGCAGGTGCCAGCCTATGCCGAGCATAGCAGAGCCCCTGTCCCTTCTCCAGGGCCTGGTAGGCGCCAACAGTTTCCCACCCAGGGTTCCTGCCCGTGCCTGCCCCATCCACACCTACAGGAGGGAGAAGCGCGGGGCTGAGCAGGAGGGGCAGGGAGAGCCAGGACTGGGCACAGCGGGGGCTGTGTGCGAGGCTCCAGGCTGGCTTTCACAGACATTATTTACATCTTTTCAACTTTCACCCACTTCATAGGTACGGATCCCAAGATGAGGCAACATGTGCAAGGTCACGCAGTCTGTAAGTGGCTGTGCCGAGACTGAAATCTGAGTGTCCCGTCTCCAAGACCGTGTTCTTTCTGCCACATCATTTACATCACCATTGCAGCCTTGGGAAGTCTGGGGCTTGGGGCCAGAACTGAATGAGACCTCCCCTCTGCCCTCCACCCTCTGCGAGCTCTAAGGAGAGTTAGGGGCCACTCTGGTGCCCCACATCCCATTTTATAGAGGGGATTGATGCCCGAAGAGGCGAGGGGACTTGCCAGGCTGCACACACAGCTGGGGAGAGCCTGAGCTAAATTTGACTGTAGAACCCAGTTCTATGACATGGGGTGGCCTCTCTGAAACAATCTTTCTTGGCCTGTCCCATGTGCTAAAAGCCCCATATTTAATCACTATGTGAAACTGTAGGAAACTGGCTTATTAACTTCAAACCCTTTTGAGACTCTGATGAAAGCCCCAGTGCAGTGGGGAAAGCTACTCCTCTCTTCTTATCTTTATTTTTTCTTGGGAGGAGAAATGACCAATTTGATTACTTAGATTTGAGGATACTGAGGGTATCACATTTACTGGTGGGAGGTGAGAAGTCTCTTTCACACGCAGGAAGCTCTTCTTGGCATCTATGCAGCAGGGGGAGGCTGAGGGAGCAGGCCATCTCCCTGCCTCTGCCCTGCGT